CTGAGCCATTGCTCCATAAGTGTCATATGACCAATGTCCCTAAACGTTGATAAAGTCCGTAAATGTAGTTGAATGTTGAGTCAACGACGCATTCAATAACATATTTACTTGTTATCATGAAATACCCATTTTATCTCTATTAGAATATAGAAAATGTGTTTTGCCACAATATTTCGATATCCCAATGTGACCCCCGGAGACAGAAATGGTAGGGCAGTGTCTGAGAACCAGTCTCCGGACACCTGAATAACTCCTGGACAAATGTGAGATGACACCAGTGGATCCTGTGGCCGTGTGTCGGCTGTGGTGGTGCTGAGGAGGTCAGTGGAGCTCACAGGGACCATCTGGCCACGGGCCCCCACAGCTCTGCAGGCACCGGAGCCCTGCCGTTATGCCGCAATGTGGACTGAGTCTGAAAAACATAACAGCTTCACGTGAGGACATACAGTAGATACTAACGGCCTTGGCACTTCCACATGGATCATTTATTAAACAAAAAAGTTATGTGACCCAACTTTAAAGCCCACTCTTATACTGTGGGTTGAATTAGATTAGTATTATTATATTTGACTTTATTTTTCTTCTTTTTTGATTTTTATTATTTTATGGTAATGGATTTTAACCTATTACTTGCTGGTAAATGTCTATTGTGTTTACTTAGTGCACTTGTATAGTTGTAATTTTAAGAAATGTTATGTAGAATTGTTCATGTTTTTCTTTTTATGCATGCCTAATTCTATTTTTACTTCTTTTGTACCAAGAGCCAAAGCTATTCCCCCATTTGTGAGTTCCTGTTGCTCACAATGGCAATAAAAATATTTCTGATTCTGATTCATGTGCAGGATGTCACATGTTGTTTGTTCCACCAGAAAAGCTGTTGTAAAATGTGAACAGTCGGACCACACAACATGCTTAATCGATTAGATAACAAAAATTGTATCTGTTGCAAACTTTGACACTTTGGGATGAGAGATGAGGTTCCCAAGTTTGCAGTAGAACCACACTTTACAGTTTTTCTTAGTCGCTTTGGTGCATTTCTTTCATCAGACAAAGGCACACCGCGGACTTTGTGACCTAAAGAGTTGACACATATGAGTTATTTTATATGAATACTTGGGCCAATATACAGCGCTTGACACTTGCAATGCTCCGAGCGGGGCTGCCCTCTTGAAATACCGCCCATGTAAGTTTCGAGCAGACGGACCGTCTCCCACCAGGTCACGTGACTTGGAAGAAAGATTTGCTTTACGGCTACAGGCGCTGATATACTCATGGAGCTAAGGCTTTTGCTACTCATTTTTCACCTGCTCGACTCCTGGTCATGGCTGAGGCAAGGAAAAATTTTAAACCTTCGGAGGAGGCTAAAAAGAGGAAACGCGAAAGGGATCGTGCTGTAAGCTGCATGTCTGTATGAGCGCTGCTCTTCACCTGGTTCCTGGATGTCATCGACTGCAAAGATGTCATTCCACGCAGCACGAGCTAGACGCAGAACTCCCTCATCCAGGATATAGAAGTCCATGTGTGGTAGATTACTAATGCAGCGGTCTGGAGGCTGACCACAGCAGAGTCTCTCAATATCTGTAGGCATGTCTCTACAGTTTGAACACACACACCAGTGCATACTGTCTGAATACACACTCAAAAGACACCGGCTGACTGTTTGTTGACTTTTGCGACAGTGCTGAGTTGCTTGTGGCCACTAGGGGCGCTAAACGTGAAAGTTGCAGGTCTAGCGCCCCTAGTGGCCAAGAGTTACACGGTGTGCCTTTCTCAAAACTATTTGTTTAATCTCCACAACATTGAGTCATTTGTGCACATAATAGTGGCAGTTTCTCATTCCTATGAACAAATTACAAATGCTTTTGGACATGTATCAGTTACTTTCATACAGTTCTCTGCTGTTTTATAAACATCATCATTTGCTTCTGTCCTGTCAGTCAAAATGAAACATACTTATGCCTTCTGAATAGTCTTTCCCTATAAACTAATAGTCCTCATTTCATTGCTTGAGTCATCACATACAAAATTGTTGAACTAGTTCTCCAAACCAAAATCTGTCAAGCTAATTTTATTCTTTCCTTTGTATTTTTTATATTTTTTCCCCGAAAATCTCTCCTAAATTACTTCAGTGGATTCGCCACTCAAGGAGATACTTTCCTTGCTGCCTTGCAAGGGAAGACATCTGCTGTGATGTAGATGAAAATATGTGGCCAGACAGACAGGAAGGTGCAGATGTCCAGGAATAATTTGTATAAAGTTTTTTAGTAATATGTTCTGTTGTGTTGTTTACATTTGTGCACAGTTCTACCATAGTGCTATTTCTTATGTTTGTTCTAAACGGGGTGACAGTAGCTCAATTGGTAGAGCATTGGCCTTCAGGTCTGAAGGTCGTGGGTTCAATTCCCACCTCTACACCTTCTCCACCGACTCCCACTGATGACTGCTGTCGTTGTGTCCTTGGGCAAGACACTTAACCCCACTTTGCCCAAAGCCCCCACTGAAAGATCAAGGCTATGCTCACACTCAGAGAGCAGCCGTCCTCCTGTGGACTCACCACCTGCAGAGGGTCAGTGAGGGGCTGGTGCTATGAGACTTGGGTGGCATCTCTGATTGCCACCCCCCTGACCCAGAAATGGATAAAAGTTTAGAAAATGGATGGATGTTCTAAATACTGTGAGTGATTGTGGTTTTTTTGCACAATGCTGTAGAATTGCCAAGAGCATTATGCAGGCAATATGTCAAATGCATACATACTGTGTCTTGTACTCAGTTACTGTACCTCACTAAACACAGATATGTTTAACTTTGCAGTGGTAAAGTTTCAAATGGCTGTACAGGTCGACTTTTCATATTGAGAAAGTGACACACTTTTGCAGGTTATCCACAATGTTTTGCAGTTTGTACTAATTGTTCTGACTAATTCACTGACTAACTGATTCACTAACTGTTGTGCAATTGTGAACAGTGATGTGACAAATGTAAACAATGCAACAGTACATGTTGCTATAAACTGAAAATACATTACTCCTGGACTGCCACGCTTTCCTCTCTGTCCTACACATATTTTCTACATCACAGCTTTTTCCCTTGAAGGCAACACAATTCAACAATTTTGTATGTTATGACTCAAGTGATGAAATGAGGACTATTCATTTTAGGAAGTGACTATTCAGTATTCATAAGTCTGTTTCATTTTGACTGAGTGGACGGAATGAGAATGTAAAACAACAGAGAATTGTATGAAAGTAACTGATACATGTCCAAAAGCATTTGTAATCAAAGGAATGAGAAGCTGCTACGATGATGTGCACAGATGACTCAGTGTTGTGGTGGTTGAACTAATAGTTTGGAAATTTACCAAAGCGACTGTAAGTAAGTAGTAATAAGTCACAGAAGGACATTTTAGTGGACAGTTTCTAAAGGACTGGGTTAAAAACAGCAGTATTACAGGCTGACAGCGCCCTCTGCTGGCCACTACTGGGACGTTGCCCTAAGAGAAGTACCTGAACATTTGCCTGGCCTGCCAAACAATATGCTTTTTTCTTTTGAACAGAAAGGAGGAGTGTCTGGCAGGCCAGGCAACCTGAACATGTGATGGTATTTTAATGGACCGATTTGTTAAAAAGTAACACTAGATCACCCCATAAAATCACCCAAAGCATCCAGACATGTTGTGTAAGCGGTCAGTAAGGATTACAATATTTCTTTCCTCTGAAATAATTTAAGAAAGGGCTTCACACCCTAAGTGTGTGAGAAAATAACTTTGATGCGTTATGTAAAACATAGAATCATATGTTAAAACTGTATTGTACTATAATATACCTATTGAATGGGTTGAATACCTTTGTAGATAGATAGATTATTGATCCCCACAGGAGAAATTCAGGTGTCCAGTAGCAGCCAAAAAAATAATAATTTGATCATTCTAAAAAGTTAAATAATAGTAATAGTAACCAGAAACAGCCCTTTAGGCCACAGCAGCAGAGATGGAGTAGCCTCTGGGTGGAGCAGGACGGGTCACAGCAGCAGAGGTGGTGTAGCCTCTGGGTGGAGCAGGACGGGTCACAAGGTGGAGTAGCCGCTTGGTTCGGACCATTTTCTCTGCTCTAGTCCAAAGTAAAATGCTAAATGCTTCATAAGTATTTTTCAAAAAGTTAGCATCCTTCAGGATTTTCACCTGATCCGCTTGGTTAGGACCATGAATCCTCACTGGTCTGGACCAGTGCAAAACCACGAACACTGTACTGCAGCAACATCTCAAGTAGAAAAAAAGGACGTTTTCCAGGCGAATTCAAAAGTAAGTGTAGTGATTAAAAAGATTTGATGAACAGAGAGGTCCACGGCGTCATATCTGCGCTCTGTTCCACAGACAGTATTGTTGTAGAAAGTTGCACTGCTTGATTATTCTCAAGGTTCACCTCAAGGTAAGTCACACTCCTTTACAGATGATAGACCTTTCTGGTTTAAGCCCCTGGACTGTGGTCAAAGGGTGCAGGGGAGAGCTGTCTCTACAAGGCCGAAGAGATGTGTTTAACACCCTTTCACACACTGTCAAACTGTGGTGCTATTTTGAAGAGTCTGGGGTTTATTTTGTCACAAAAACACTAATATACAAGGCACCTATTCCCCTATCGTACAATCGAATTTCTTTATAGCCCAGACACACTGGGCCCCGCCCCCTGTCGCAGCTCCATGGCCTCACTTCTTGGAGTGAGACTATGAAGCTGGTAACTTTATTTTCATATATATTTATATTTAAATCTATATATGTATTTTATGGTCGTCATGTATTTATAATTCGTTACATCCATAGATCCGTGTTTACACCCAATCAACCAGTTTCATCCTGGCTTCATCGAGGGATTTTTGTACACACAAGATGGCGGTCACTCTCGCCAACAGCACTGTGCTCTCTCTAGCGGCTTAAGCAGAAGCCTCTGTCAGCCTCGTTGAGCAGGTGTGTTCTGTCCACCTGTCCCCGTCCTGTCCCCTCAGGAGACATGACCGCGCCATGCAGAGTCCAGCTGACCCCCCTGAGTGACTGCCCCCCGGGGCTTCTCTCCCCCCACACCCCCGCGCCAGCCCCGGTGCTTCCATCCGACCTCAAGTCCGGGACCAGACGCTTTGACCTCCCGCTGTTCGAACCGGACGACAGGCTCTGCCCCGAGTTCAGCTACGCCCAACTCATGGACGCTCAGGACTGTTGGAGGAATGTAGAGGTGGGGAATATGTCAGATCCTTTTCAATTAACTTACACATTTTGCTATGGGAAAATACCTATTTAACCCATGCCATGGCTTCTAGTTCTTTCTTAAGAAATTAAAGCCTTAATTCACAAGGTTCACTTAATTTTTTTTATTAAAGCTTGGGTTCGCTGCTTTTTCATAAAACTATACTTTCCTATCAGCAGAAATAAATGGTATGATGAACAAATGAGACCAAAATAGGCTGTCTTTATCTTATTAGAAAAAATGCAGAGGCAACTCTTAAGAAACAAATTCAGTGCAATCGATTCAGTCGTTACAACTCTCATGCCATATGAAGCCACCAGCTGAAAGTAATAGAAAAAAATAAACTCTGCAGCCTTAATTAACAATGGTCGTTCTCTTCATAGTGAAGTAGGGCTGATTTTTTTCTTCCTATTTTAAATAAAGACCAGGAGAAGAAGGCTGAATGAAATACTTTTATATAACCTTTTAACTTTTTAACGGTCAACATTATGAAAATCATGAATAAAATTTTCAATGTTCAAATGTAGGTATTGAATAAATGCTCAATACAAATGAATTATGTAATTTTGTAAAAAGTAGTGTACAACTCTAGGCTCATACTGACAACAATATACAGTAATAATGAACTTGCACCGGTAGATGTTTGATACTACTCGAACGGCTCAGGTGGTGCTGTGGAGAGAGCATGAGCTGTCCTTGTATGATGGTGTGGAGTAGGGGTATTTGGGCCTGAGAATTCTGAAAACATGTCGGACCAGACTGGGAAGAGTGAATCTACAATAGGCAAGCAGTTTGGTGTGAACAAATCAACTGTGGGAGCAATTATCAGAAAATGGAAGACATACAAGACCACTGATAATCTCCCTCGATCTGGGGCTCCACGCAAGATCTCATCCCGTGGGGTCAAAATGATCATGAGAACGATGATCAAAAAGCCCAGAACCACACGGGGTGACCTGGTGAATGACCTGCAGAGAGCTGGGACCAAAGTAACAAAGGATACCATCAGTAATACATTACGACGACAGGGAATCAAATCCTGCAGTGCCAGACGTGTCCCCCTGCTGAAGCCAGTGCATGTCCAGGCCCGTCTGAAGTTTGCCAGAGAGCACATGGATGATACAGCAGAGGATTGGGAGAATGTCATGTGGTCAGAAGTAGAACTGTTTGGTATAAACTCAACTCGTCGTGTTTGGAGGAAGAAGAATACTGAGTTGCATCCCAGGAACACCATACCTACTGTGAAGCATGGGGGTGGAAACGTCATGCTTTGGGGCGGTTTTTCTGCTAAGGGGACAGGACGACTGATCCGTGTTTAAGGAAAGAATGGGCCATGTATTGTGAGATTTTGAGCCAAAACCTCCTTCCATCAGTGAGAGCTTTGAAGATGAAACGTGGCTGGGTCTTCCAGCATGACAATGATCCCAAACCCACCGCCCGGGCAACGAAGGAGTGGCTCTGTAAGAAGCATTTGAAAGTCCTGGAGTGGCCTAGCCAGTCTCCTGACCTCAACCCCATTGAAAATCTGTGGAGGGAGTTGAAAGTCCGTGTTGCTCGGTGACGGCCCCAAAACATAATTTACAAATAAATTCTTTAATAATCCTACAATGTGAATTTCTGGATTTTTTTTTCACATTCTGTCTCTCACAGTTGAAGTGTACCTATGATGAAAATTACAGACCTGTCATTATTTTAAGTGGGAGAACTTGCACAATCGGTGGCTGACTAAATACTTTTTTGCCCCACTGTATAGGCCAGATAGCAGCGCCTTTCGACCCCTATTGGAGGGAGTGTGCAGGGTTTTTCATTAATCCCACGTGGTCGTCTTTGCGGCCACAGCCCCTGCTGTGTAAACATAAATCCTAGATCTATAGAAGTCAAAGAGTTAGTCAAACATTTGATATTCTTTCTTCTATAGCTGCTGTTGATGGTAGTTTGTGTGATAGGAAGAGAAGCCCAGACACCAGGACCGCCCCGAAGACCTGATCGATATGGGAGACGGATACGACGAAGACGACTCATTTATCGACAACTCTGAAGCTGTAAGTAAACGGTGTGACAGTAGTGGTTTCGAAAAAATAATCACAATTTATTTTTCCCCATATTGAACAATTTTGATCTTCTATTCTATTATGGCTGTTACTATGATGAATCCTCTTACAGAGCAGAAATCCAAAATGTTGTTCAGTGGAGGTAATGATAACAACCTTCAGCCATCAAAAACATATGAACTGGTCTTTGACTTTAGCCGGAACAGTTCTCACATGCCTGTCGTTATTGATAACTCCCAGGTGTAGATTGTAGAGGAGTGCCAAGTTTCTCGGTTTAACTCTTAACGACCTCATGGGACAAAAACACTAATCAGGTTAAGAAAGCTCGTCAGCGTCTACTTTCTGCAAAAACCTAAAGAATTTACCACTAACTAAGATTCTGCCTAACTTTTTTTGCTGCACCATCGATAGTTTGCTTGTTGGGTCTGGGACTGTGTGGTTTGATAACATCACAGCAAAAAAAAGTTCTAAACAAAGTGCTCTGCTTTGCAAAGAGGACTGTGAGCTGCCTGTTCTAGAGGTTCTTTATCAATACAGACTTTTAAACCGATAAATTACTCTTCTGGCCACTCTGGAAAAGCCATGTTCCAGTTTCATCCCTCTGGCAGAAGATATTGTTCGCTCAGATGCAGGATATCTCGATATGCTATAAGTTTAAGTTATCACTTAAAACAAGCCACTTTGAAATTAATCAACTAAATTAGCTGCAATACAAAGGCAAGATCATTTACAGTGTCAATTAAGATAAGAATTCCTTTATTCGTCCCACAGTGGGGAAATTTCAATGTTACAGCGCACATACAGGACAGTAGTAAGAGCACACAGGGATCACACACAATATATACAAATAAGTAGTAGCTATGTTTCTTAGCTAACATAACTAGCTGTAGATGCTGAAAATGCTTCAATACCAATTGTTTCCTGTTTTATGTTTTTTTAACCTTGTTTTATTTATGTACCTTGGTGCACAATTGTGATTTTTGCGGATGTATTCCAATGTGGTTTTACTGCAAATGGCAAATAGATGAATTAGTTGTTTGTTAGTGCAGTATGGCCTGCACTAAGATAACAACTAAGATATGGGCGGCATATGGGTGAGTGGATAACACTCTCGCCTCTCAGCAAGAAGGTCCTGGGTTTGCATGTTCTCCCCGTGTCTGCGTAGGTTTCCTCCGGGTACTCCGGTTTCCCCTACCACTATAAACATGTACATGCGCCTCCTGTACTGGCGACCCCGCTCCCATCTCTGTGTGGAGTGAAAGGACAAATGCCCAAAAAAAAAAAACAATGGTAAACCGCTTTGTGACTCTGGTCTGTGAAAGGCGGTATATAGATAAAGATGACTTACTTACTTACATACTGCCTTAGTGTATATACATACGATTTTGTAAAGCGCGTTCTTTCATTATATCTTAAATTTATTTTGAGAAATATGCTTTTTTGTCTAGTTGAAATAAGGAAAAAAAAAAATTGAATAAAAAGTAAATAATAAAGTGTAGTTTTGCTGTATGTCACAATCTGGCCAAAAGTGATTCAGCAACCTCTCCCTGACTCAGGTTGCCAGATATGCAAACGAATCCAGTCGGGACCATAAAATCTAAATAAACAAGAGTTTTGTCAACAACAAATCTATAACAGACAGGGGCGACAGTGGCTCAGTTAGAGAATTGGCCTTTGGGCCTGAAGGTTGTGGGTTCGAGTCCACCACGAGACCTACTTCACAACTCCCACTGATGACTGCTGTCGTTATGTCCTTGGGCAAGACACTTAACCCCACTTTGCCTGAAGCCCCCGCTGGAAGATCGAGGCTCGTGTGGACTCTCCACCTGCAGGAGGATCAGTGGGGAGTTGGTGCTCTGTGTTCTGGGTGCAGCTCTGCCACCCCCCTGACCCAAAATTGGATTAAGGGGAAAAAAATGGATGGAAAGATGGAAATCTATAACCAACACACAGGCCCCGATAGAAATGATTGTTTTATTAATGATTTGTGAATCATAAAGAGACTTTTTTTAGTTCTGCGGTCACCCTCACACTGTGGGGGGGAGAATCATGTACATAGAGTAAAAAAAATAATTCAGTCAACCACCAATTGTTATAGTCCTCACCTAAAAGACAATTAGATGCCTGTGATTTCATCATTGTTACAACTACGAGAGACAAAATTGGAACAAAAAATGCAGAAAATCACTTTTTCACAAATCATGGGATAAAATAAGTATTTGGTCACCAAGAGTACTGTCTCTTACTTCTTTAAGAGGCTCCTATGTCCTCCAGTTACCTATATTAATGGCACCTGTTTGAGGTTGTGGACAAATGTCTTTTATACAGATAACGTGTTCAGTCACAGTCCAAGCTCCACTAAGCTGTCAAAGGACACCAAAAACAAAGAAGTGAAGAAATCAACTTTGGGAGAAGATATTAGTAAATGGAAGACATACAGTGCAAGACCACTGTTGGACAAAACCATTGTTGGAGGACTTTGGCAAGGCAAGTTTATTTATATAGCACAATTCATACACAAGGCAATTCAAAGTGCTGAACAAAACAAGAAAGCATTAAAATCATAAATTATCACAGAACATTAAAAAGAAAGATAAAAATATAAAATCCCTCAGTTGTATGCACAGTTAAACAGAACTGTCTTTAACCTGGTTTTAAACATTGTCAGAGAGGAGGCCTGTCTCACATCTTCAGGAAGACTGTTCCAGATTTTAGCAGCATGAATCTGAAAAGCAGCATGAATCTGAAACTTGGGTGGCATCTCTGATTGCCACCCCCTTGACCCAGAAATGGATTAAAAGGGTAGAAAATGGATGGATGGATGGATGAATCTGAAAAGCAGCCTCCCCATGTTTAGTTCTGACTCTGGGCACTAACAGGAGTCCAGTCCCTGTGCTCCTCAGAGTCCGGGCTGGTTCATGTGGGACTAACATGTCACTAATATATTTTGGTGCGAGGCCATGGAGAGACTTGTACACAAGCAGAGCTGTTTTAAAGTCTATTCTCTGAGCCACAGGAAGCCAGTGCAGAGACCTGAGGACCGGACTAATGTGGTCGTACTTCCTGGTTCTAGTCAGGACTCGAGCTGCTGCATTTTGAATGTACTGCAGCTGTTTTACAGCCTGTTTGGACAGACCTGTGAGCAGGCCATTGCAGTAGTCTAACCTACTGGAGACAAATGCATGGATAAGAATCTCCAAGTCTGCTTTAGACACTATGTTTTTGATCCTGGCAATGTTTTTTAGATGGTAAAAAGCTGCTGATGTTACTGATTTGATGTGGCTATTAAAATTTAAGTATGAGTCCAATATTACCCCTATGGTGGTACAGTGTCAAAGGCAGCACTTAGATCTAACAAGATTAAGATTGAGACTTTGCCTGCGTCAGTGTTCAGCCGGATATCGTTTGTAACCTTAACGAGAGCAGTCTCAGTGCTGTGGTGGGGTCTAAAGCCGGACTGAAACATATCAAATGAGTTGTTGATTATAAGAAATCTAGTAAACTGTAGGTAGACAACTTTTTCAAGGACTTTCCCCATAAATGGCAGATTTGAGATGGGACGATAGTTGTTAAGTACCTTAGCATCGAGACTGATCTTTTTTAGCAGGGGCCTGATGACTGCAGTTTTCAGGGCCTTTGGGAATATTCCAGAATGAAGGGACATGTTTACTATCTGTGTGAGTGAAGGCAACAGACTGCTCAGAACAGACTTCAGAAATCTAGTGGGTAGTACATCCAAGCTGCATGTGGAGGAGCTCAAACTGGAGATTATCTCTTGGACGGTTTTATCATTTACAGGTGCAAAGTGAGTTAGCTCAGAGAGCCTTTCTGGCTGTTGGATGGTTATCTGTGGATTGGAGACAATGGCATTTTTGATGCCTTGAACCTTGTCATTGAAAAAATTAGCAAACTCATTGCATTTACGTTTGGAAGTAAGCTCTAATGGCATTTGAACAGGGGGGTTTGTTAATCTATTAACTGTTGAGAACAGAACACGCAGATTGTTGCTGCAGCCTTCAATCATTTCAGAAAAATACCTTTCTCTCGTACTACGTAGCACCCGGTTAAACTCGCACAACTTATCTTTGAAGATCTCGTAATCAACCTGGAGGTTGGACTTGCGCCACTTCCGCTCGGCCCTCCGGCACTCTCTCTTTTGTACCCTGACCGAGTCTGCTTTAGCCCACGGCGCCTTCACAATTGGTGGCTGACTAAATACTTTTATGCCCCACTGTATGTGTCAGTTGGTTATATAAATGAATAGTAAGTGTTTGTGTGTGCATTCAGTATGATGAGTTTGTGCCTGCTGACATCACCACCACACTCGGGGGCTTCTATGTCAACTCTGGGCTCTTGCACTTCATATGGGGAACTGAGGAAGAGGGGTACCTGGAGCCTCAACCTGGAGAGGGGCCCCCTGCGGAAAATACAAAGGATGTGTCTAAGGTGAGAAGACTATAGTCCCCTACACATCATAGTGCTGTGAGTACAAAATAGAAAACAAAGTCCAAGCAAAATAGTTTTCACTTGAATGTGCTCCTTGTGCTCAGCCTAATTCCATTTGCAAGGAGCATAATATGAGTTTTACACAAGGAACGATGAGAAGGTTTAGAGCAGAAATATATGAAGGTGTCAGACTATGGAGTTTCCTCCGCTGAGTGGCTGGCTGCTCCATTAGAGATAGAAGACTGAGTTCCCAATAGTGAGAATTTCATTTATTTAAAACAAATATATTTCTGTATAGCCCTAAATCACAACAGTTATCTATGAGAACTTTACAAAGTTCTTGATTTGCCAACACAGATCAGACAAACAGATAAGAGAAGAACCAGGAGAGGTATCTATCTTGGACGCCTCCCTGTGTCTTGGCCCAGTTCAGAATGTCTTCCATTCACCTGACTTCCTGCTCTGTTCTTGTCTGCTTTAGAGGCAGAAACGGAAAGTGGAGAAATTGCTAAAGCAACGCACCGAAGACTACTCTGTGCCTTGCGCAAAATCGAGGCAAGTAGTGAGACTTTGTTCCTATTGTGGGAAATGAATCACGCAAAGACTGGATCATGGCGCACCAAAGCTCTGGAAGTTTATTCTCAGGCTCCTTTCAGGTTTTTTCAGTTTTCTCAGACAGAACAAATTCAAGACATGGTTTTATAGTCATTGTTACGTCACACATAGAAAGACATACGTGTCACATTCATTGAAACTCAAAGCATATGGTTAAAAGACAATCTATTTACCTGTCAAATACTGTTGCCTAATAAAATATACTTAAATGGTAGAATACAAAACATATGAACCATATATAGAGAATATGCACTGACGTCAGTAATTACCCATGATTCATTGTGGCTGATAGTTGTGCTGCCATATTGGACTTCAGAAAAACTGACAGCTGTATACTCACAGTCTAGAACATAATATATCATGGCTGAATTTCAGCCCTGTTTACCGCTTTTTGAGTATGCTGTTGGACTAAAGGATATTCACAAGGAAAGATGTATTGGTAAAGATTTGTATTTATGGCCAAAAGCGATGTTGCAGTTCTCACAAACACTTCCTGATATATGCTCCCCAGACATCAACTATCTTGTGAACAAACCATCCTTCTACACAGCTTCTAGAATGAAGAATTACAAGAGTCTAGAGGCCTACAAGTACTTTGTAACACTCATTATGTTAGGTACCGACCAAGCAATAACTTTAAAAACAAATTCGAAATATGCTGCTCTGCTGCTGGGCCGGCTCTCCCCCGCACACACAACACGATTCACCCATTTCAACATCCTCTACAGCCATTTTCAATGATCAAAGCAGTGCTAGAACATTTTGTTTGAAATAACATGGTTGCATCAATAAGATCTTTGTATTATGTTGTGCGAATGACAATGCAATTCTAAGCCTACCCAAGAATATTTGGGCCTGCTGTGAGATTTCATAACACTTTTAAGCAACTTTGATGAGTTTAACTTTAATAATTCTATCAATGTGCAGAAGCCTGTACTTTTCCACTTCATGTTTTGTCTATCTGAAGGCCAAGCTACATGGCACCGTGGCAGCTGCTGATTGGAGGACTCCATGTCTCCGCTCTGCATAATACACTTGCATTCTGTTGTTCGTGTTGTTCGTTCTGTCTCTACCATCGACAATAAAACATGTCTTCTGTCTGAATTTAAGACGCGATCCCAGACTATGTCATCTTCTTCACTGCTAATGGACTAATGTAAGTATTTTTCAGTGATGTGTGCCCTGTGTGCAGCCTGGTTCCTGATGTTTGCGAAAAGGTGAAGAAGGTGAAGAAGCCCATCCTGAGTATGGCCAGTGCAGTGAGACGTTGTGAGCAGGAGCGAGACAGGCAGTGTGCTCAGGCATTGGCCTCAGCCAGGGGCCTCCACGCGACAATGGGGCCTGCAGACGCTGGTGGGGGAGGTTGCCCAACCTTCACAGAGCCCTTCCTCACACTGGCCCCGGAGCTAGACATTGTGCTGCTAAATGAAGACGGCACCTCCTCTGAGACCCCAGTCTCTCTACATAAAGCTGAGGGCCCCGGGACACACACTGAAGCCTTCCCTCCTGAACTACAGGACAGCATTCACTCCCTCATGATGGTACGATCCAGCCTGTTCTTGATGCTAATTTAAATTACAAATAAGGTGGTTATAAAATACAAACAAAAATCACAACAAATTAAAGCAACAGCCTTTAACTTCCTGCAGGTGGTACGTCACCTGTGTGATTCCATGGGCTGAACTTAGCCCTCCTGGAAGGTCTAATCTTTTACAGTTTCCATTATGATGGAATTTGATAACAGGAGTTGAAAAAGGGTAAACTACGGTCTTCCCCCATAAAGAATATTATAGAGCAGTGGTCCCCAAATGGTGTGGCTGCAGATTTTCATTCCAACTAGGTGCACACCACTCTCTCATTTCATCAAGGCTTCAGGATAAGTGATGAGTTGAGTCTGTGGAGGTTTTTTTGAAAATGAAGTAGGTTTGAGGGGACATTCGGGTTCATTTTCACTTTGGCCAGAGCTTATGGTCAGCACTTTTAAAGCATTATGGAACATTACAAACATAGGATATGAAAAAAAATAGTTTAATATTCAGCTCTTTAGTTAAGTAACAAGGTGTACATCTGCAGGCTTCCAAGACTTCAGAGGGAGAGTCCAAAGGAAAGTTCTACACCCCAGAGATCAACCAACTCCTGCTGCAGTAAGTCTGACTCTATCTCAGGTTTAGCTACTGGACAATGTCATCGGAGTAGTCAGAATATTAACATAATAGTGACCCATAGTGTTTGCGGAAGAAGTCGATTTAGAACTAGCTCGAACAGATTATTTGAGAGTGAATCTGAAGGTAACAGTGTCTGAGAAACCAAGGGCCAACACTGGTTTATCCCTGTTCTTGTTAATCGCTATTGCTGACATTGGCCTGATTAGAGATCCAGATAGACTTGAGTTAGTGTACGTTACAAACTGCTGTCAACCCTAAATACCACCTGAATTGAAGTCTGAGTTGATGTACACCAGGCGTCAAGTAAGAGCACTGATGTTTTTCCCCTGATGGACTGTTGACTGACAAGTATTGATTTTTTTTGTATTCTTATACTAGTGCACTGCTACTTGGATAAACGTGTGTGTGTCCCAGAATCGACGCTCAGTGCCGGCAGCATGGAGGCTCTCTGCGCACCAGGGTCTACTCACACCTCTGCTCCTTCCTGCCCTGCAACAAGGACACGCTGCTGCGACGGGTTGGCCGGCTCAGGCAGTCGCGTACCGTACGTAGACCGTCCATTCACTGTGCTCATATGGGTGGAAGGGAAATCTGATTCACCTCCTAGTTTTAAAAGGATTGATCTGAATGAGAGTAAACCATGAGATCACTGGTCTGGACTGGTGATTTAATTTCCCCATATCAAGCTGCTGGTAACCAAATACATCCATTTAGACATTGGAGTAGTAGAGGTTTATATTAAAGCTGGGGTACCTGAGTTTACACCACAAAACAAGTTGCTATTTCATAAAAATCAAAGTCTAGTTAACTCTCTCTAAAATAGCCTTCGTCAAATCTTCGGCTTTTTCAGACAGAAAAGTGTAAAAGAGAGGACCACCCTCACACAGCTCTTAGCCTGTGATAGTGACCGGCCGGGCTCTCAACCCAGAGTCCCTTTCTGTCCCCCCAAAGATCCCTTTGAGTCCCTTTCTGGGCTCGAAGGAATCTTTCTTAGTGGAGTTTGCATGTTCTCCCTGCAACAAAGCTCCCTACAAGGAACATTTTAATTTACCTTTCTAAAAAGTATCTTGTATTATGCTGTTTGTTGTTTGGTTCACAATCAAAACAGTTGCTTAATACAAGTCATGCAGCCCTATTTTTGAAAAATATCGTAGATCACATCAGAATCGCAATGTTGATAAGAAAAATTCTCAATTAGATATTTTCTTAAACTGGTGCTGTGTGTCTAGGAGGAGACCAGCGTGGAGCAGCTCATGAAGACTCTGGAGAGTGCTATCCATAAGAGCATGCCTGAGCAGATTCTCCGCTGGAAAGAGCTCCATAAAGCTCACGAAGAATGCAGGCAACGCACACAGTACGTTTATTAAACACTCTTCTAATTTAGTATATTGAACAAGATACATTGAAAACCAAGCCCCGTGTTTGAGTTGGTACCATTTCTAATTAGTTTATGCTGCATGTAGCCAGATACTATGGAAGACAAGGCCAGCAGATGCGTTTAAGAGCACAGGAAAAAGCCATGCAAATGTTACATACATTTTAATAGAAGGAATGTTCTTTTCCCCTTTTGGACGCGTGTCTTTGATTTGATTTTGTTATGCGAGGCAAAAGCTGGACATATGTGAACCATGGGGTGATTTTTTTTTTTTTTTTTTTACCCCCAATCTCACAATCAATCATTTGTTTTTTTTTTTCCTCATTTTCAGTTTGTCGTCTTGTTTCTTTTTTTGTCGTTTGTGTTTTATGCTCAGGTCAGGGCCTGGTATGTTTTTATTTTGTTATGTAAATGACTAGTAGTATTACCCAGTTGAGGTTTTGATCACTCAATTAGGGAGAGCTTAACAACTCAATTAAGCGACACAATTGTATTAATACAATACATGCCCCATTCATATTTGTTCTTGGAAAAAAATTAAATACAAACGAATAGTTGTATATGAAGTCTCTCTGCACATGTTTCATTTTGTTCTGCTTTTGTTACGAGACGTAAAAGCAGGAAACATGACACATTTGATTCTACTGTGGAACTGGCTGAGCATTTGATTTTTCACACAGGCTCAACTATAGCCTGGCCATAGCCATCCGTACACTCCGCTCAATTATCATTTGTCTGCATGTAACGTCTGGGCCTGGTCTCTGTTAGCGTTTACAATCTGTTTAATTCCATCCGACCAATCAGCGAGCACGGGAAGCGGGTGTTGTAGTAGTCGCGGGTGACGTCAAGAGTTTGCATCGAACGGGCAGGTTGTAGTGTGGCGATGAATGCGATAGTAAAGTAATCCGGTCTGGTTCTATCAAGAAAGGCGAACGTTTAGCAAGTTTCATTGCTTGCAAAGATCGGTGGCGCTACTCCCCACGGTCTCCGTTAGCGGCAAAGGAGATGGCTATGCTAAATGCAAACGACTCACTCGGGCGCATTACATACGTGACGATAAACTCAGATCCAATCGTTTCAATCTGCAAAAGGAGTTAACCGCTCCCACCTGTTCACGGAGCTCAATGGAGCACCTCCAGACCTTAGTACGAATCAGAATCAGAATCATTTTTATTGCCACGTAAGTAACAGGAAGTCACAAACTTGGAAATTGCTTTGGCTCAGTGCAACAGTCAGAAAGAGATAATAAAAATAAACGATAAACACTTCTAAGGAATAAATTTAAGTTACTATTTACAGTTACTATTTACAATATACCAGTGCACATGGTGCACACAATGTAAGGTGACAGCAGTACAGTGAAGTAATGTGACGTATGATGGGCAGTAAAGTGACTTTATAAAGGGCGGGGGGACAGGTTAAGAAGTGTTCAAGAGTCCAACAGCAGAGGGGAAGAAACTGTTCTTGTGGCGGGAGGTTCTAGTCCTGATGGACCGCAGCCTCCTGCCTGAGGGGAGTACAAAATGTCATTTGTACTATGGTGTGGTACGACCAGGCTAGCTCAACTACAAAGTTACAATGTCTTGTTTGATTATATTTGACATATTACAAGTGTACTTGTACAGGAGTGGGAGTTAATTTATCATTTCCAAATAGTATAGCCCTGATACATTCCTCCCAAGGTTAAGACAAACACTGGGATATACAAGTGAACCTGAATAAAAGGTTATTTTATATAGATGCAACTCATAATCATCTTACGTGTAGGGCTTTCTGATCCTGTTAATTTTTTTTTGGACCTTTTTAGCACAAATTAGATAAAAACTCTTGAGCCTAAAACCATCTGTGGGGTGCCCTCTCTACTTTGTTGATGGCACTACATTAGAATTTCGTGCCTGTCCTCTCCAGTGGCTCTGGAGTGATGTTTGACGTCAGTTGGTGTGTGTGGTGTGTGTGACGTGCAATTTTCAAATGTTAATGTAGGCGGAGTCAGGCTGGGCACAGGTGTTCAGTTGATCTTTAAGTTGGTTTCATTTGAATGATATATACATTTACAACAATGTTTTGCCAATTGTTAGAGTCCAGTAATGTCCAGTGCAGCAGCTACGTGCGACTGAGGATTTTATTCTTAAAGGTCCCAAATTTTGCTCTACATCATTGTTTCACAGTCCACCCTAGATTCTCTTCTTCTCTGCCTGTGATCCCGACTTCCCCCACCGGAATTTTGATGCTGTTTTAAAGCATAAAAAAGTAGAACAGTGTGATATGGGACCGTAAGGTATTTATTCACAAGTCGAAGAGATGTAAATAAAATTTTGAAATTGTGATTATTTGTTACTCAAATCTATTGCATTATTATTAAATTTTGCATGCAATAAATTTAGAATTAAAATTGTATGTTTTGTGTTTTCAGTTTAAAGCGTAATTCATAAAATAATTAATGTGTGATATAAAGTAGCCTAATAAGCCTAAAATCTAATCAAAATGGAAAAATCCCCAATCAAAACTGTTTGGTTCTACCAGTAGTTTTCTCATGCTTGTATGGTCTGCCTCTGTCTCATCTTTAGATCAGCTTTTTCATACACAATAGTTAGGGGCCCTTATTTTTGCTAGACTCTTTGTTTGGCCAAACAAACATGATTTTTTTTTTTTTTTTTTTAACTGTTATGCACCCCGGCTTTAAAGGAGCTATATCCGTGTCTGCAAAGTTTGAATGTTTAGCACCCTCAACTCACTCACAGGCTTCTCATTTCCCCTACGCTCTCATCCCACAAAGCCATCTAGTTTTATTTGCGATCTAATATGTATGCTAACATTAGCATGAGCGCAACTTCTTGTAAGCTGTACAGCAATCACTGATGAAATGGTACAAAAGCAACGCACTGCTAACAAAATATATAACTGAAAGATTACCGCTAGTTTTGCATCCGAATGTAGTCTGAGACGGTCCACACCCGTAGGTGTGGTGTTGCAACATTCAGACTTTGTTGTAGACGTACCATAAGTGAAACTCTCCATTGTCCTGTGCTTCTGTCGCACTGTCCCAGGCCCACAGAGGAAGAGGTGGAAGGAGAGAACAAAGCCCCTGGGCCCAAGAAGCACTTCAGATGGAACCAGGAGACCAGGTCAGACTCTGTGTGTGTTTGTGCGAGACACTCGAAGGCAGTGGTAATGTTCAGCAGTTCAGTTCATTGTGATAATCCTCCCACACAAATTTTGTCAGATTATCAAAATTGTTGTGCGACAAAACATGTATTCTCCCAATAAACATTGAATGAAATTTGAATGTAAATTATATTGAAATAGATTTACCTCAAATTATAGAATAAAATCATTGTTTTGCATAAACAAATAGAATATTTTATTACTCCTTGCAAAATTTTAATTTTTTTCTTTCTGTAAATTCTCAAGGGAAGAATCAAAATGGAATCAAAATATATAATGTAACAGCTAGAAATCTCCTACCTCTTCTTTCCTTTTCGAAACTCTAAATAAACACAACTGTTTATCACTAGGGAACTTGCGCCTTAGGAGCCAAATAGGCCTTCCTATTTGGACATGGCAATGTTGGTAAAACTGTTAGACAGCTCTGTGTGTGTTTTACAGCAGAGTGTGTCCACAGGGAGTGTGTGAGGAGGCTGCTGAGGCTGAGGCTGGAGCAGCTCCAGAGTCACACTAGGGACCAGGACCAGAGTAAGACCACAGACCAGGAGCTGCACCTGCGCACTGTGCTGGACGAGGAGCTGAAGCCGCTCTGGCCCAAAGGATGGATGTCCTCCAGGTCAGACCAAGCTCTAGTTCAGTCCATACATATGTCCAGCTCAGACTAGACCCACAGGTCAGACAGTGCACATGTAAACCTGGGCACGTCCTCTGAGCTGTGGTAGACACCAGTTCATTATACACACACATTTGCTGTGGGATAACCTGTTGCTCGACATCTGCAGGGCCCTGCTGAAGGAGAGCCACAAACTCCTGACTCCTCCACTGATGCCGTAAGTACACTCAAATACAATAGTTTCTTTGCTCCGCTTCCACACTTTCTCAGCTCAGAAATGATTGAACTGGAATCCTGGAACCTGAAAAGTTTCACAATTGTTTTCAGGAGAGTCCGAGCCCCAGAGAGAGGGGAACTGTTGTATGTACAAACATTCAAAATAAATACATATTGAATCATGATTAAATTCTAGTTTTTTGCTCCTAGTTTTAAAACTAACATTAAAAATAACAGAAATATGAACATACTTGCACATTGATCAGGACTGGAACAGGGCAGCCTATTGAGCAGAAGATTACAGCCACAGTACTAGTTTTCATTTGACAGATGGGTATAGTCTGTACAGGTTTAAAATGTGGCCTGAGAAGCATGAACGGGAATGGGTTTGCAATGACCTCAAGTCATTTTGATCCCTCTTCTGCAAAAGAACGGTGTGGAGCTAATAATCCATTTGCATGTAATCCTGATGGCTCTTTTTAACCCGGCTCCAGGGTAGAATAAATCCCTACTCGTTTCCATGAAACATCTGTAATTTCATCAACACAATAATTGTCATGTTTGGCATGAATTAAATGTATGAACTTTCTGCCACAGGGTGAAAGCTCTCCCTGACCCTGCCTCCCTGCAGCCCCCCTCTGAGCTGCTGGCTGCAGCTCTGGCCCGGTTCCAACAGGGCGGCAATCACAGGTGGAGACCAAGTCAACTGGTGGGGTCCCCGCCGCTACCCCCTCCGCCCCAGTGCAGCCCTGCAAACTTGCCCCTTAGTCCAGAGTGAGACCACTTTTACTGTTCATATGAGAAGAGTTGACTGAATATTTAAGATGCTTTTGTACCAAATAAAGATGAGCTTATTTTCTAAGTTTGTGTTTGTATTGTTTCAGCACTCATCGCTATGGTAACATTTAGTGTCTGCAATAACTTGAAGGTAACAGTCTATAAACGCTTGCCAGTTGGATTTTGTTGATATAAATTTGTCTGCTGTTGGTGGAGGGCATCAACCAAAGCTTTGTCAGATTGAGCATGTGGAGATTGGAAGGCTCATGGGTCGTGCCTTCAGTCCATATGACACTGGTGTGAAAGAAGTACAGGTACATGAAGCATGCCCTAAGATCGAGATGTATAGATTTTATTCTCAAAAGCTTCAGAAAACTCTTTATACTCTAAGTCTGAAGCAGTGCCCCTCTGTAGGATATGTCTTTCCTTTTATGGTTTCAAATACATAAGGGGATGAAAAATTTGGGAATCAAGTTGTAGGATCAAAATGAAGGATTACCATGTCATCAATATTTTAATTACTCACAAAGATTGAAATTCTTAAAGAATGGGACAAAAAAAAAATGTCCGTTAGGAAAAGGACTTAAAGATCTAAAATTCATTCCAGATACACATTACCATTTCTCTCAAACATTGTTCACAAATCTGTCTAAATGTGTGATTCTGCTTTGCTGAAATAATCCATCCCACCTCACAGGTGTGCCACATCAAGATGCTGATCTGACATCATGATTAGTGCACAGGTATACCTTAGGCCCCGTCCTAATTCTGAGGGCCCTCCAGGTGTGAGTGCCCTCACCAAAAAAATGCCTTCCCATAGGGGAGTGCACTCACAGGATATTCTCCTGAAGAATTGGGACACCCTGGATCTAGGGGACAATATGCAAATGACGCAGCAGACGTGTTCCATGTCACACACATCAAAGTGTCTGATTTCACCACATAAGATCTGACAGTGATATGACTTTATGAAACACAGAATTAAAAATGTCATTTTAATAAATACTATTTCATATGAAGTTTTGCTATAATAGGTACAGAACTGCTGCACATCACAAACTCATTGAAATAGACGCGCACAGACACACATGTACACACAAAGAGGCAGACACACGCATACACATGTACATGTGAGAGACAAGTACCCACAATAATAAAGCGCTTTGTGACTGTGAAAGGCACAATATAAATAAAGATTGATTTCTTAGTGTATTATTTCATATGATTGAACACACAATCCCATACATAATTTATTTTATTGAATACAGAATTATTTTTTTACATGCCAACTCATTGTGTTTGGGTTTACAGCACTTACGTTTTTCCATCACATTACCTGCCATGATTTTATATCTACAGCAGAGGTCTCCATTGAGTGACCAACACAGGTTATTCCTTGAGGATATAGTGAGGATCACTACACACATGAGGATATCACGCACTACTGAGGCTCATCCAGACATGACGGCGCAGTTTTTTTGTTTTGTTTTTCTCTATTTAATCGACAGATTTCCAAAATGTGTTGTATTCCACATTGTTTTGCAGTTTCTGAACAATTATATGCCTTGGAAGCTCTGTAATGAACCACAGATCCCCCAGATAATCAAGAAATAGCATGTTTATTATGTATCTGTGTGTCCAGTATGCAGCCCGTCTATCTTCAAGAGGGGTCAGAGGTCCAAAGAGGAAGAGTTTCCTTTTCACATCATCACTGTGAAAACTGAAGATGATGAAGACAAGTCCTCCGTGCTTCATCAAAACCAACTGAAGATGGTGCTCTGAAGACGCAGGCCACTCACAAGACTATAGCCCAGAACAGTCTCCAGCAAAAAGAAGCTACGCCATGGTTCCTGCTGACGCATGTGTCACAGACCACAGACCCTTCAGCTGCTCAGACTGTGGGAAGAGCTTTAAAACACATCACACAGTTTCAGTTTGTAAGAAAAGGTTTAAAACGAGAAGTGATTTAGAGGAGCACATTTTGACTCACTCAGCTGAAAGGCCATTCAGCTGATCAGACTGTGAGAAAACATTTAAAACAAAGAGAGGTTTAAACACACATTATATTGTACTCAGATGGCAAACATCACAGCTGCTCAGACTGTGGGAAAGAATATAAATCAAAATCACGCTATACACATGACTGTTCACTTAGAAAAACTGTTCAGCTGTTTAGTTTGTGATTTCCCCTACGCTCTCCTCCCACGGAGCCATCTAGTTTTATTTGCGATCTGATACACATGTAAACATTAGCATGAGTGCAACTTCTTGTAAGCTGTACAATAATCACTGATGAAATGGTACAAAAGCAACCCACTGCTAACAAAATATATAACTGAAAGATTACCGCTAGTTTTGCATCCGAATGTAGTCTGAGACGGTCCTGCAGGTCTCTCCCGTAGACTGTAAAGCCTGGTTCACACGGCAGGATATTTAGGCCGATTTACCCCTTACGACAATCTTAAGAAACGCTCCGATTTCCGTAACAAAATCTTACAGATTATCCTGCCGTGTGTGGTGTGTTAAGACTGTGCTCGTCGCTCGGAAGGGGGGGGGGAGGGGGAAATCGGTTCGTGTGTGGTTTGCGTGATTTTTGCCGTGTGGCTGCGCACCACACACTGGTACAAAAAATCGGCCAACAATTTTAAAATCGTCTCGTGTGAACCAGGCTTAAGTCTCTCCAGAGGATACAATGTAAGCTAACGCTACGTATATTCACCTGGGCTTGATGTCTTCTTTGATCATTTTTTTGCCTGAGTCCCTCTTCTCTTCCTCACTGTTGCGTTGTTTAGGCTGTTTTGCTGTGTCTGCAGTTACAGCAAGAAGAGTTAACCAATACTGCTAACATGCTACTGTGTTATCACTCAGGAGAGAAACCATTCAGCTATTCACATTGTGAGATGACTTTTATAACAAAGTCACTTTTAAAAACACACATGATGATTCACTCAAGACAGTGACCTTACTGCGGATCAGATTGTGGAAAAGAATTTGGGGGCGGAGACAACCTGAACAGAGACATGATGGTTGATTCAGAACAGAGTCCCTTCAGTTGCTCAGTTTGTGGCAAAGGTTTTGTGGTGAAAAGTAATCTGAACAGTCACATGCTGGTTCACTCAGATGAGAGGCCCCACAAATGTTCAGTTTGTGAGAAAAGGTTTAAGAGAAATATAAGTTTCGAGAACCACATACAGACTCACTCAGTAGAAAGGCCATTCAGCTGCTCAGACTGTGGGAAGGGGTTACCCCCAGCATAGACATTTTTTTCAGAGATGTAAACTTATTTCTTTGTTGTGAGAATAGAAGTTTTTGTCTATGACCGGTGATCTGTCCTAAATACATCCATGTTAAAGTGGATTTTGACCACACTACTTCTTAAGTCATGGGGACAGAACAAGATTCAGTAGCCACAGCTGCCCTGGGGCACGCTGACAGAAGCGAGGTAACCAGTATGTGCCATCGGCCCCTACGACCACCACCAACCATTCATGCAAACACCAGACTCATTCTGGTGTGGGTTAAGTGCCTTGCCAAAGGACTCAACCACAGTTTGGCACTTTACAGCTCCATGGTACTAACCAGGCCCTACCCTGCTTAGCTTCAGAGGTCTGATGGGATCTGGCTTTCAGGTGCAGATATGGCCACATACAGGCTTGTACATAAACCCACGTTCTAACCGAAAAAAATCTTAACAGTCTTTAGGAAAGAACCGCCCTTGCCACTTTTTGAACACAACTCTCTAGTCTTATTTGACGAGCACGTATCCCCAGAATGATTGACAATTGGGAGGTGGTGATGATCCAACTGGAAGTAGAAAATCCTCCTCTTTACCTTTAAGGCTCCAATGCAGCAGAAATGCTCCAATGCAGCAGAAATGCTCCAATGCAGCAGAAATGCTATAGAGCTCTTGAATCCATGACACACACAGTGGAACACTTTGGATTGTGTTTCTATTGTTGATTATGGCCTCCTCTCCTGTCCAAGTTGCAGAATATTGGCAGGAACTGAAACATGTTGTTGTATACTGATCGACTGTGTTGCTCTGTGTGAGGCAAATCGAGGCCTCAGCAGTTTATCTGACCAGTGAGTGAGTCTCCCTAAAAAGTACAAACTGAACACACACTTCAAACATATGTATCACATATCAGACAATCTGACCCCAGTGCAGCATGCATGCTGTCTAAAGCAACTCAATACATGCCACACCTGGATTGAAATTGGGACAGGTCCATTTACTGTGGATTGAGGGTATAGTTTGGTGCTTATTTAGCTGATTTCATAACTTAAGAATAGTTGATTTCAATTAAGTAAAGATGAAAATATTGAAATAACGCCTTTTGTGTTTTTTCTTTTTTCTAAAAATCCAAAATCATGTAGAATGTGTTTTAAGAATATTCTTTTTCTCTGAATATTGTTGCACACATGTGTTCTTTACTCCTGGAAGGAATTTCTTGACTGCTTACTCAACCCACCGAGGGGTTTGGAAATGTTGAAGTTGTAGGATTTTCTCTTCGAAAAGTGAAGGATACATTTACCAAGTCATTCAGAAGAAAGATAGCAGGGCAAAAATACAGAAAGACCACCGCCCTTTAGGACGTTGTTTGTCATTTTCTTTGATTTCTATGTCCTGAACCTGTATCTATAAACAAAAGATAAAAAAACAGGCTACGGAGGCTAAAGCAATATATGTAGGTTCTGTACTGTTGTAAAAGAAAATAAAAACAATTTCAAATTTGAGATGTACATGGGATTAATAACTTTCTGCAGTTTGTTGTCAAGAGTCCGCAACAGTAGATTTATTGCTGACCCAGGGAACATTTTATGACCAGGTTTATTGTCACTGTTTATTTAGGGGAAATTCAGACATTGTGGAAGAGTTGGAGCTTCAGACTCATGTCCCAAGTCAAAGGCTTAACAATAGAGCTGGTAGAACTAATCATTAAACCATTGAACGGTAAATCTGTCCATTTACCCTGTGTCTGCTTATCGACCACAGGTGTAGGAGCAGCTGAAAATGTGGCTACAGCTCATCTTTGAAATGCACGGTCAATTTGAGTAAACCGTCTCCAAACAATTTCAAATCTTTAATAAAGTCCCATCTTTTTTCACTTGCACTTGCTTCCGTCTGTTCTCTCTACTCTTATTTGAATTCATACACATTAACTTTCATTTAACAACACCCATGCCGTGTTACACAAAGTTTTTCCGATATTGTAACTGCCTGTCTTCCTTTATTCTATTGTTTGTATTGTGTAAACTACATTTAAAATACATTCTAAGCATGAATCACTTTTTTGTCATGGTTGTCCTGGTCTCGTGTGTATTCATGTGTCTCTGTGTGCTCATAAAGTTTGAAACGAGAATATGAGAGGAAAGAATGAAGGCGGCTGTGACGGTGACAATGATGAGGATGGGTACAAAAAACGTTGTGTGACAAGACAAGGGTGTTGTTGAAGAAAAGTCAATATGCATAAAGTAAAAAATTAATACATAAAAATATATGCATAAAGTAAATTAAGAGAAAGGACACAATTTTGGATGAGAATGTAAAAGCAGGATCTAAGTTTTAGCCTTCATAAACATCCCAAAAGTGTCAAATACTCCGAGCTGAAACGTCCCTAAAGGTGAGAGAATCAGGAAGTAGGTCATGTTAAAAGTGTAGACACATAAAACGTGACTTGTAGATGTAAATGATTTGAGCATCCAGACTCACAGATACGGTGTGTGTTTATCATGGTTCAATGATTAATGATTGTCCTGCAGCACAGTCCACCAGCATTTTATTTGTTTGATATTGTCCAGTTTTCTCAGTCTGGAACAATGGTCCAAATATACGTGATGTATGTTTGGATCATGTAGTGGTAGAGAGACCAGAGAGAGAGACCAGAGTGAGAGACAAGAGAGAGACAAGAGAGAGAGACCAGAGAGAGTTCAGAAGGAGAGAGACCAGAGTGACAGACCAGAGAGAGACAAGAGAGAGAGACCAGAGTGAGAGACAAGAGAGAGACAAGAGAGGGAGACCAGAGAGAGATCAGAGAGAGACCAGAGTGACAGACCAGAGAGATTTCAGAGAGAGAGAGACCAGAGTGAGAGACAAGAGAGAGAGACCAGAGAAAGACAAGCGAGACCAGCAACCATGTTAAAATAATATAAATAAATAGATAATTTGAAAACCACAGATGATTTAAGATGTATAGAGTACATCACCTGCCCCCACTCCTGTCTTTTGTATTCACTTTTTGTTTTTCTTATAATTTTTTACATTGTAATACTTGATTAATTCTTGTTTTTGGATTTATTTTGCAATTTTGTATCTAGATATTGGGATGATGCATTTTTTTCTCACACAAAAGAACGTAATGCAAAGAAAGTCTAAATAAATTGTACACACAAAAAGGTTTAGTCAAAAAGTGTACTCATTTATTTGATGGTACTTGGTTGTAGTAAATGGAAGGTTTGGGTGTAACTGCTTTATACATACGCGGGAGCCCTCCAGTAGTGGATCTTGCCTGGGTATTTGGTTTCATTTGTTGATGCTCTTTGCTCTAATTCTCTGTGATTCTGTAGCTCTGTGGAAAATCGATACAGATGCATTATTGGAACATGCTGCAGAAATAATGATTAAAGCAGCATAAACCATATCTGTAAGTCCTGATGTTGACTTCCTTTACCCATCGGCACATCAATCACAAGGTCAGGCTCATAAAAGCTTTTATCGCAGTGTAAAGATAATCAAGTTCAATTTGAATTCCTTATTTTTCAAGAATTACTTCCTGGTGGTGTTTTTGAAAGCTCATTCTCTTGTATAAAAGCAGTACTGCTCAGGACCAGTCATCAGCCCTCGGCAGAAACCTGCTCCAGACAACCACAGGTGAATGCACTCACATGTACAGTAGCTGCATACTCATATACTCATAGAATAGGTCAATGTCTTCTTATTTATGAATGTATTATGTATTTACAGTTACTCTTTATGTGTGTATATTTTTAGATTGAATTAAAACAGCTGTGCAGGTTTGAAAAGGACAAAAAATACTTTGGAGAAAAACATTCACCTTTACGCTGGCTGCAGACCCACAGGAGTTTTGGAGTTTTGTGTGATGAGCAAAAACATGGAAATTTGTGAACTGAATTTTTATTGACGGATGTGCAAAGAAAAAAACATGCTTTTTCAGGGTTAAAAATGTCAATGGAAAAATTCAAGCTCTGATGACCCAAACAATCTTCCATAGCACCTAAAAAAAATAACAAAAATTGACCCACTGAAGCGTTCATATCTCATGTATTGAGCAAAACAATACATGAGTTATCTGTTGTTATGTATATTCTAAATATATTTACAGTGTATTATTAGGCTTTGTTTTAGAAGTATAGTATTTTGAAATCTAATATTTGAATGAAATCTAATATTGTGTTCAAGAAGGCTATTTATATTTAGTGTAAGCATTACCATACAATGTTTCAGTATACTTTTAAAATGATATTTACAATTATAGTTTACTTTGAATATACTTTAACTAAGTGCATTTATAAACACTTTTATACAATTACACTACAGTATAGACCAAAAGTTTGGACACACTTTCTTATTCAATTAGTTTCCTTTCTTTTCATGACTATTGACTGTAGATTCACATCCAGGCTGTGTGAGGGCTATTTGACCAATAAGGAGAGTGGTGGTGCTGGGCCAGATGACCTGGCCTCCACAGTCACCAGACCTGAACCCAATCCAGATGGTTTTGGGGTGAGCTGGACCACAGAGTGAAGGCAAAAGGGCCAACAAGTGTTAAGCATCTCTGGGAACTCCTTTAAGACTGTTGGAAGACTGTTTCAGGTCACTACCTCTTGAAGCTCATCAAGAGAATGCCAAGAGTGTGCGAAGCAGTAATCAGAGCAAAAGGTGCTACTTCGAAGAACTGAGAATATAAGACATATTTTCAGTTGTTTCATACTTTTTTTTAGTGCGTACATAATTCCACATGAGTTAATTCATAGTTTTGATGCCTTCAGTGTGAATCTACAATTTTCATAATCATGAGAATAAAAAACGCTTTGAATGAGAAGGTGTGTCCAAACTTTTGGTCTGTACTGTATGTCTATGTATTCTTCAATCAAATGTGACTTAGATTATCTAAAAACTGCGTGTTTGTTCACCTGGATGCAGTGAGTTTGTGGTTTTATCTGTGCAGTTTGTTAGACACAGATACGAGGCACACACCTGTTCTGCACATAACACATTTATCTTTTTCAGTCAACTCCCGAGTCAAGTACCGAGTCAAGACCTAGGACTAAAATAGCGACTTCCCGGGATCTTTCAGGTGAGTGTGCAAATGATGATAGTTTGCTGTTAAGTTAAAGACAGCAAGAATATTTGATTTTTCCAGGACTCTGCTTCAAATATAATTTGAGTGTGTGTCCTCCTCTTATTTGTCTATCTGTAGATAATAGTTTAGTTCTAGAACTAGCACTATATTATCTGTAAAGGGTATTGCTTGCTTAAACCGAGTCCCGGCGTGGTTGTGGAGCACCTTACATTAACATCCCATGGCCCACTGGTTGAAAAACATTGTTCTATAAATCCACATGTTTGTGCAACAAAGGATGGTAAGTACACAAGAGCCACAGTAAAAAGTCAATAAAAAGTCAATTTCCCTCAGATCCGAGAGACCAGGCCTTTTTAAATCCGAGGGCAACCTCAAGATGACCAAATGGGTCAAGGGCTACAATATATTGTTGAATTTAAATTAACTGTGCATTGCGCAGATTCAATAAATTGGGAATAGTAAATAACGCCTTTTTTTTTCTATTGTCTTTTAACCTGGACAAGGATTTTTATATTTGTATCATTTATTAATGTACTGCGATTATTTAGATTTTAATGCTATTTAATTTTGTTCAGCACTTTGAGTTTCCTTGTGTATGAATTGTGCTATACAATCAATTATCAATTTGCCTTGTGCAACTATTATATACTAATTTAGGTCTAAAATCATAGGGAGATGTTGTGTATACATACTCAAATACCACTAAATATGTGGCTCTAGTAAAATTGATGTCACTAGTTCCTGGCTCTAAAAAAGTGTCTTTTGCAAACGCCAACCGGTGAGCGGAAGACCATGTGAGTAACAGGAAGTCACAAACTAGGAAATTGCTTTGGCTCTCGGTGAAAACAAGTTAAAGCAGAATAAAATCAAAGGCATGCATCAATAAAAATCTACGTAAATGTCTTGGGTTTTCTGTATACAAGTGCACTAGGTGCACACAATAGAGCAAGCCTAACAGGCGTCTATTGTGGCCGCCCATGGGCATGGGGTTAGTGACCCCTGTGGTAGACAGTACATGTTGCGGTTAGGGGCCGTCTCTCCAGTATGTTTACACCTGTGCATCCGCAGTCATGGCCCATGCCTCCCTCACTCTCCTCCTGCTCACCGCTCTCTTCTCCCTGGCTCTCTGCACGGCTGAGGAGTGCGACAAAGTGCCCTTCGTCCCGGGACACAACCTGATGGGTGAAGGCTTCGACATTGTCACGCTGAAGAGGAAAGGAGCCTATGTGGTGGATGTCCAGACGTACATGACCCCCAACGGGACCTGCAACACCTTCCAAAACCCTCTCCAGGGAAACCAGCTGCAGAAGGTCAGCCTGACCTCATACACACTGTCTTTTACATTTAAATACAACACATGGATGGTTGTAAGCTAAACAAAGGAAAGATGAAATGAAACACCCCAAGTCATTTCTCTCTCAACTAATGGAGAGAAATTACATTTTACTCACCTAAAAGTGTGTTTTACAAGTTACAAGTTTATAGGGACTACTTGAAAATCATTTGAAGTAGCGCCTGTAATGCCCTCATGTACAACTATGGATCAACATACCCCGAAACTCTGAGATATCTGTAATTTTCCGATTTCCCAAAATTGCTTGTTTATGAAAAAGTTAGTTGTGAAAACATGTTTTTTTGATAAACATAAGAACATACATATGATATCTTAACTCTTTATGCCAAGCTTTTGTGGCCAATGAATTGATAAACAATGGTTTCCCTCTCAGTTTGTCTCTATTCCTCCATCCAATGACAAACACGTGTCACAGTGGCTTCCACTCGGGAACTCAGGGACCATTGATCCAGATTCAGCTTCAGTTTCAGCCCATGTTTCCAAGCAAAATGCCCTGGTCCAGATCAAATTGATGGTAATGTCTAGTGTTGGAGCCAAGGAGACAACATACACATGTATGAATGTCTCTAAAATGAGCTGAAAGTGTGAATGAGCAGAGAAAACATGATAAGAAGGTTGATTCCCAGTGATGCCCTGTAACTTGTCCTTCTCCTTCACAGCTTCCTCTCTCTGCACTGGATTTCCGGGCATTTACAAACTGCCGCACCGACGTGTACCACTCTACCCAATACTCAGTCAGGTCTGAATGAGCTCTTCTGCATCCATTCTTAATAACTATGAAATGACTTCAGTCAAATATATTCTAAATTATACATATGTGTGCATGGATCTTCTATTAAAGGAGTTTAAATAGCCATAAATAGGTTGCATAAAATGTTTAAAATACTATAAAACGTATAAATATCTTCACATCACTGCAACTGCGATCGAACAGCAAGTGCGCCATGTTGGAGTTGTGTGTTTTCAAAAGCATCTTTTCTTAGCAACTGAATCTAGTTTATCTGATGTTATAAATACAAATATTTATTTTCAAAGTATTGTGTTACTAGATTACGGTTGAAGTTACTAAATGTATTTGTAACTGATTGACCATTCACACTGATGCACTGAAATGTCTCCTGTTGTGTGTCTGCAGTGAAGTGGTCAGTACCGTGACGTCCCAGGACAGCAGCGACTGGAAGGTAAGGACAAAAAAAGGACAAAAACTCTTTTGTCTAACTAAGAAACTATGCTACTTATATTGTATATTTTGTGTGCTCCCTATGTACTCTTACTGTCCTGTATGCGCACTGCAACATTGAATTTTTTCCCACTGTGGGACAAAAAAAGGTTCTCATATCTTATCTTATCTTTCTGACAGTTGGAGCTGAGCCATGAAGACGTGGGGGGCCTGGAGGTGGGCGGGACCCGCTCTGATTTGTACAACTTTGCATCTGCCAGAATGAAAGAGGACAAGTTTACTTTCAGTATCCACCGATCGTCATGTACACACTACAGGTGATTAACACAATTCAATCCACGCTGTCAAGCTGCTAACATTTACAAATGTATACATAGAGCTATATAGTATGTCTTGCACTAGAGTCAAAACTATTTCATTCTTGCTGCTAAAGTTAGAGATTTTAGATTTGCTTCTTTATTATCCTTTAGTTAGAGTTGTATTTCAGTATTGAGTTAATGTTCACATTTCTCATCTGTTGGAAGAATAAAGGATATCTTAATCTTAATCTTAATGTAATTCAATTGAAGTTATTTGTGTATAGCCCTAAATCACAATAGCAGTGGTCTCAGGGGATTTTGTTCCAAATTGACAACTAACAAAGTTGTCAATTCCTCAACAACAGATCAGAGAATCAAACCGTTTGAACACAATTCTAACAAACACATGGGAGATCGAGTTGAGCAGCAGCTAGCTCGAGCCAATTTTCTTATATGGGCAATTGTTTGGATGGGTTTAGCTTCACCCCCTAACAGGGGCAGACTATTTGCTTACATGGTTGCTAGGGCAAGCTGGAGTATCATCTGCGAATGAAGTCAGATAATTTGTCAATCCTAATGGCTAATTTTTAAAGACAATGTCAAAATATCAACACCAGGATTAAATAGTGCGTTATACTTTGGGTTTTTAAAGTGCAAAAGGTTGAGTGTGACAGAGCTCATTACACATTAGCTAGAGGAATTTAATTTTTCCCTTGGGCTTCATTGATCTAGTGGGTTAGCATTGTCCATCTATATACAGTCTAAGGTACTGGGTTTATGAAAAATGCCATGTGAAGCCTCTTTGAGTGACTAGAAAAGCGTACGTGCATGAAATTGAAGCTTTAATGTAACTATTTATTAGTTTGAGACTTACTAGTCACTGCTGTGTGTATGCAGATACCGGGTCTCCTCCACTCCTCCTCTCAGCTCAGAGTTCAGAAAGGATGTCTTGCTGCTGCCCTCCTCCTACAACTCTAGCTCCAGAGTCCAGTACAGGCGGCTCATCAACACCTACGGCACCCACTACATCCGGCAGGTGGGTCCTGTGGTATAGCTAGCCCATGCCAGGGTCTGGGCTATCCCCTGGTAATTTTTACATAATCTCTATCCTTATATTATGTTTTGTAGGCAAATCTCGGTGGACAATATAGACGTCTCACTGCTGTGCGCACCTGTTTGTCTGCTCTCAATGGCTTTTCCACTTCACAGGTAAATGCCGTATGACCTTCTGCAAAAGCGTATATATTTAGCAATATTATAAATTATAATAATATAAAACATGTGCAATATTCTACATGATCTGAATTAATGGAACACCCCCAACTGGAGGTTTTCATGAGGGAGAGAGAGATATTGTTATGTTGGTGAAAAATCTAGGGTCACAATTAACCACCTTGAGGATATTGTTTATTTGTTTGCTTCAAGTTACTTAGATCACAAAAACCCAGTGACTGGGTTTTTCAGCCATGAATGTAAAAGACTTTTGAATTACTGCACTCTTTTTTAAGTAACTGGAAATAAGTTAATAAGAGAAAAAAGAGGTGTGAATATTGTGAAACTCCATTCTGATTAACATAATCTAATCAATTAATCGATTAATAAAAATAAAAATTGGCCAACCGATAATCAAAATAATAGGTAATTACAGCGCTAGAGAAAATATTCTTTTGCAATGCTTTTCAAAACAGTAAATTGATTGATGACGCTAAACCTGGCTCCTCACAGGCCCACGGATGTCTGTCTGCCGGCATCAGCCTGGGTCTGGGGAAGTCTAGAGTGGGTGCTAGCTTCACGAGATGCTCCACTCTGCTGCAAAACAACGATGCGGCCACGTCCTCCAGCTCAGGCATGCAGCTACACCGCTCAGAGGTGGAGGGGGGTCAGGGCTGGAACGGACAATTCTCCCTGCTCTCCAACGACTCCCGCGGGTACAACACGTGGCTGCAAACCCTCAAAGACCACCCTGATGTAGTGCAGTATTCCCTCCGGCTCATGTCTGACCTGGTGCCCCACCCACAGAAGAGCATGCAAGTGCGAGCCGCCATTGTGGACTATCTGAAGGTAGGAAGGTTTTAAAGCAGGGGTGTCATTCATACGGCCCGCGGGCCGGAACCGGCCCGCCAAGAGATTTGACACGGCCCGTGGCTCATTTATGTAAAAATATAATAAAGTTACATTTTAAAAAGCCGCTCCGCGACGCGAGGCTCCGCGCCGCCGCAGCGCCGCGCTCAGGGGTGAGTCCAGTGCGTCTGTAGTGGCTCCACCAGAGCGGTGCTGGAAGAATAACATCTTAAACTACAAGACTCGACGAAAAATACAGCACTTTGAGCGGAGAATTGAGAAAACAGAAGATAAACATGTCTGGCCCTGAAGACACAGCAGTCTGTTTGTGCCCAGAGCAAGAGGTTAGTTCTGCTGCTGTAAAGGGAAGCTACCTGTGCTAACAACATTAGCATTAGCATCGCAGCCGCACAGTGAGAGAGAGTTTGTTAAAACTCTCACAGGCTGCAGACATGGTCTGAGAAACCACTCGCTTTTACCAACATGTTGCCATTGATAAGAGACTGATGTTACTGATGTCACATATTCATTTGTGGTGTTACTGAAACTATCAGAGGAGTTTTGAGCGCTGCTGCTGGTACTGCTGCTGGTTCTGCTGTTGTTGCTGGTGTGTTGGACAGTGTGGACGGGTACCGATGGTAAAAACAGGTGTAGTGACAAAGCTGCAAATGGAGGTGATGATTTTTGGACATTTGACTGTATTTTACACAGAGACACTGCTGCAGTCGTTAAGAATGAATCACGTTATGGAAGTAAAACTTGCTAAGAAGTACAGATGATGGGTGAGAAACCTTCCTTTGCTTTGGTTATGGAAGTTGTTTTATTCATTTCAACTGAATCATGGTCAGTTTGATGCTTTCTCTGTGATAATAACATAACCATGGACCTTACACACTGAAGATGGTTAATGTGATAATAACATAACCATGGACCTTACACACTGAAGATGGTTAATGTGATAATAACATAACCATGGACCTTACCACACTGAAGATGGTTAATGTGATAATAACATAACCATGGACCTTACCACACTGAAGATGGTTAATGTGATAATAACATAACCATGGACCTTACACACTGAAGATGGTTAATGTGATAATAACATAACCATGGACCTTACCACACTGAAGATGGTTAATGTGATAATAACATAACCATGGACCTTACACACTGAAGATGGTTAATGTGATAATAACATAACCATGGACCTTACACACTGAAGATGGTTAATGTGATAATAACATAACCATGGACCTTACCACACTGAAGATGGTTAATGTGATAATAACATAACCATGGACCTTACACACTGAAGATGGTTAATGTGATAATAACATAACCATGGACCTTACCACACTGAAGATGGTTAATGTGATAATAACATAACCATGGACCTTACACACTGAAGATGGTTAATGTGATAATAACATAACCATGGACCTTACACACTGAAGATGGTTAATGTGATAATAACATAACCATGGACTTTACCACACTGAAGATGGTTAATGTGATAATAACATAACCATGGACCTTACCACACTGAAGATGGTTAATGTGATAATAACATAACCATGGACCTTACACACTGAAGATGGTTAATGTGATAATAACATAACCATGGACCTTACCACACTGAAGATGGTTAAGCTGAGGTGCTGTGTTTAAGTGCTTTTTTCTATCTACCTACTTTACCTTTGTGAGCAGGTTTTCTCTGTAATGAGCCTTAAAACAAAGCTAACACACAAATATTAATATACATATTGTGAAATACCATTTTCAATGTAATATTGTAAATACGCTACATTATTTGCACTATGGAAAACTCACTGTTACATTTAAGTTTGTAACAGAAAACTGAGTATTAAAGGATAGTGTTTTAAAGGAAGTTTTAAATAAATGTGTTTATGTGCACAAAAAGTTGGACTTTGTACCGTTTTTGGATATTTTTGTAGAGCATCTCCTGGTCCGGCCCACTTGAGATCAGATTAGGTTGTATGTGGCCCCCGGACCAAAATGAGTTTGACACCCCTGTTTTAAAGGAATCACTGTATTGTAAACATTGCAATGCATATGATCAGTGAGATTTGTGCCTCCATTGAATAAGATGGGAACTTTGAGGCGTTTCTATATAAATGAATTGGCCGCATGTCCACCCTTTAACTGATCAATACTCTGCAGCTAACCTTTGATACTACAATTGTACAATTTTGGCTCACATTCTAGGGGGCGCTAACACTGCAAGTAATTTTTTCCACATTCAGCCAAGGAGTTGAAAAATCTCTTTGCACAAATCAAACTTTAGTGCAAACCTGACTTTGTACGTGCAGACGGGAGAACATTTGGAATAATCAGAAGCTAAACAAAAATCATCCAAATTGGGGGCTCCGTGGCCTATATATGGTTTAAATGGTCACAATTCTGCTGCTAACTTTAGATGCTACACATATTTAGATGATGTGGAGAGAATTTAAGCCAAATCTGTAAAATGGCCAAGGCAGGGTCGTTTTGCATATTTAAGTGAGTGAAATACGCTAATTTTGATTTCTCCATTTTGCGCGATTGGTGTCGGACTGGGTCAGCTTCACAATGTGAATGAAAGATTGATATTTGCTAAAGAAGCCCTGGTATACAACCAGTAGCCACGATTCCCGTGTACTTCTTTCTTGCATTAATCTTTTTAACAGTGTAAATCGTAAATATTTAAACAGAGATACACCAACAATTGTCACTTGTGTTTGAAGGAAAACGGCATCAGTAAGAACGACAAGAAACCGTGTGGACAGAACTGCTGTCCCAAAAGGGCGTGGAGCGGTGTGCTCACCGTGACCATCGTCCGAGCCTGGGGCCTCAAAGGAGACCCGACAGGACGCACAGAGGGGTAAGACAAACGCCACATGAGCAGAGGAGGCAAGTAACTAAGTACTTTTACTTAAGAACTGTACTGCACAACAGCTTTTCGTTATTAGTATTTTACAACAAAATCATTTTCTCCTCACTTCAAACCCAAATATCTATATTTGAAGACAACGAAACAAGATAAAAACAGGTTTGAGTGGTTGTGAATTCTAACCTCTTCATTTTTGGTATATTATCATAATCTCTGTTAATATGAAACAGTTATACTGTGGCATAATTTTGTTAGGTAGTCCAAAGAGGCAAGTAAAACTATTGTCCGCCAATTATTTAATAAAAATGCATTTTATTTATATTTTACTTCAGTGAAATAAGGGAATAGTTTCAATACTTTTCCATTACCAGAAATTATATTTATTGTAACTATTTCTAATTCTTTATTCTACTTTTATTCTATAGTTAATAACCTAAGACCCTTTGCCTCCTCTGGACATGGCGAGCGCAGAACAACACTAATGCTTCTCTCTCATTAGTTATGCCAAGATGTGGTACGGGCCGCACTTCCGCCAGACCGGATGGATTCGCTCAAACAGCCCGTATTGGAACGCACACACTGGGCAGGGTCCACACACACACACACACACACACACACACACACACACACACACACACACACACACACACACACACACACACACACACACACACACACACACACACACACACACACACACACACACACACACACACACACACACACACACACTTGCATTTATATACTCGCTGGACCAAAAGCATCTTTGTGTAGTCACAGGGTCCACCCTTTCCAGTGGTTCTACAGCTTTGAAAAAAATCAGGGAAGTCAGAAAAAAAATCTATAAAATTACCAGCTATTCAAAATGACTGATTTCTAAACTTTGTTGAAAAAAGTTTTTTACCCACCTATGGGGTCCATCGTTTCTAACATTCAGGACTGCTGGGGCCCTTCCCCCCCCACACACATATTCCTAGTTTTTATATTTCAATGGGGCCAAACACACACATATTCCTTATTTTTATATTTCAATGGGGCCAAACACATATATTCCTAGTTTTTATATGTTAGCAGGGACCATATAGACTGTTCAGAATTAGTAGGTTCATAATTTTGGGGTGATTATATCTAAATATGGTGATGATGTAAATCAAATTAAATGGAGGATATTTAGTAACAAGATACAGGCTTAGCATGTCATCTATAATAATCTAGACACAAACCAAAACATAGATTATGTTTAAAAGGTGTTTTAGTCTAAATCCACCCGACCAGTCTGTATTCAACACTTATTTTGGTCTGCTTCCTGTAAACGAAACCAAGCTTAATTAAAGCTGCAAGCAGCATTGAGCAGGACCTCGCATCTCAGGAGGGATATGATGCAGGTTATTTTACAGGCATATAAGGGGCCATTCACACGGAGACAATGTGGCAGTAAAACGGTATAGTTGGATGTCGGTTACTACCAACCGTTCATACGAAGACTGTGTTTCAGGGGGGTCAAAACGTAAGTGTTCAGATCCAGCCTCAGAGTGGGACAACTCAGATCCGCTGCACAGCAGGGAGCTTTTTCACACCCGCGAGAGGGAGAAAGGTGTAAATCCCCCTCTGCTCTGACCCCCAAATTTGGACATGCGCAGTAGCGGAGAATGGCGCCGTGCACAATAACTAGCTCCGTGTGCTTCGAGCGCAGCACAGAGGAGGATCCGTGGCAAGAGCTCTGGTGTGTGTCGTCTTCTCTGTCTGGCGCACACCGGGGTAGTCTTGCAGTTTTCCAATGTGGTTTTACTGCAAATGGCAAATAAATTAATCTGAATCTGATTCTACTCCTTCGTTCGTCCAAACGAGACCACGCGCGAAACTCTAGGTTCAGTTCCCATTTTCACAGTTGCTGTGTCTGGCAGAGGAAATGAGTACACAGCGTTGATCCTTTTATGAACGCTGGGAAATTTGCATAAGGAGCCTGGCCATTTCTGTTAATAGCCTGGCAACGTCTACGCGTCTCAGTATAAACGGGGCCTAAATAAGTAAAAAATCTGGACTGTTGTTAGACCAAACTTGATATCAAACATGATCATTTTATGAAGACAAAATACATTGGAGTTATGGCAAATTCCTGTTTCATGGTGAACATTGAGAATGTATCCTGATGCCACAGCGATTGCATTCAGTGGAAACACACAAGCTTCATATCATCACCAAGGTCTTATGAAGCTTCTGATGTGAATCTGGAGAATCTGTTGGTTATCAAAAATGATGCACCAGAAACTTCCTGTTGCCAGCAAGTGGTGCTATGAGTTTGCCCTTATTTTGTCATACACGTGTTGAAGTTGGGGCTCTTATAATACATGAGAAATTTGTTTTTGAGTTACAACAACTTCCCGTTTCATGGCGAATCCCCAACTATCATTTGATCATGATTTAAACCTGCAGGTGAATCGAAAGTAATCCCTCACCCAAAACCTGTTTCAAGATGGCTCAGAGGTCTCAGTCAATCCTGTTAAAAGCAAGCAAACAGCAAATGTAGATGCTTCCAACAGCTGGTCCAGAACCCAAAAGTGAGGGAGAAAGATTGCTTCCACACCTTTCCAGCTTTAAACAAAAACGTGTAAATGTTAAACTTACGTTATACTGTAGTAAATACGATTTTTTTACACTATAACTAGAGGACAGTAAAAAATAAAAATAAACATGGGTTCAGTTTCAAACAATCTTTATGTAAGATTTGAACATTGAAAAAGTTATTCTGGGCATAGAGTCTAATACTAGTACTGTGGTGTACTTTTAAGTGGACTGAAACCTGTCCTTTGGTTTGTTTGTTTTTTCTGAAACCTGCAATCTCTCAAACATTTGGCAAACTCACTGATACACTTCAGAACATATAAAATAGATGCTGTACTTGAAAATACTGCCAACTAACAATATAAAACAACCCAGGCTCTATTGCTCAAGTCTTCTTCTCAGAGATTGTATACGGTTATAGATGAAGTTTTTTACCGCTTTCCAGTCTCTGTTTGCTAATGCTTGTGGTTCTGCTATAATGCATTGCTGACAGTCCATCTTCTTTGGAACCTTCATTAAAACGATGAATTTCTTCAGATGCCTCTCCACTGCAGCACACTCCTCTTGTGTCCAGGTCCTTTTTACTGGCTCCACTTTACCTGCCACAATCAGAGAGTTGGATACTTACGGCACGGTTGCAAGAGGTGGAAGACATTTGTATATATATATAAATATTTGTAAAAATCTAAAGATATAGCTCAACCATATTTTAATCATCTGAGCACATCATGCGCTGGATTGGTATGTAGTATTATTTATGAGCAACTCTGATTGGTAATTGTATCTGGGGGACGTGGTTACTTTTGTGTACGCATTCTTATGTGGGTCTTAGCTGACAGTCGGTTGTGGTGGGTGTTTGTGTGGTGTGCTGAGCATCTCTAGTTCGTAGAGCACCTCTAAGTCATGTGGTATTGGAACACGATTTGGGGATTCGTATGCTAAGTTGTTGTATTTGAGAGGTTCAGTCGCCGTGGAGGCGAGGAGATGTCCCCGGCCTCCTCTGGGAATTGACTGTGGGGGTCGAGGTCTGGGCGCGGGGGGGCGCGGTGGGTCAGCGCAGATGATGGGGGAGGGGTGTGGGAATTGTGTCTTGTGTGAAGGACTGGGAGGTGATGGAGGGTGATCAGGGGCCGGTGGGGCCCGTGTTTGCATTGGAGGGCTCGAGATAAGGGGGGGGTCGGGGGGGGGATGAGTGGGCGGGGGGGGAGGGGGGTCCGGTCGTAGGTGGGTGGTGGCCGGTGTGTAAACGGAGGAAAGGGCGGGTGGGGTGAGAATGGGGGAGGTGGGGGGGTGGAGGTATGTGGGGCTTCACGGTGGGGAGGTGGGGGGGGTGGTGGGGACGGGGCGTAGTGGCGGTGGGTGATGGGGGTGGGAGCGGGGGGGACGGGGGAGCTGTGGTGGGGGCCTAGGATTTGGCGTGTTATTAATTAGGTATAAGGGGAGGAGTGGATGGGGTGGTCGGGGAGGCTAGGGGGAGGCGGTTGGTTCGAAGGGATGGGGGGATGAGGCTGGTGGGGGGCGGTCTTGTTTAAGGAGAGGGGCCTGGGGAGGCGGGGGGGGGCTAGGGGGGCGTAGATAGGGGGCTGCAGGGTGGGTGTGCGCATTGTGGTTAGGGGGTGGTGTTGGGCGGGGTAGGGAGGAAAAGGGGTACGCCTAGGAGGGTAGGGGGGGGGGGTGAGAGGGGAGAGGGGGGATGGAGGGGGGTTGGAGCCCGTGTCTCTTCTTTATATCTTGCTCACCCCACCCCCCCCCCCCCCACCCCCCCCCCCCCCCCACCCCCCCCCCCCCCCCCCCCCCCCCCCCCCCCCCCGAGGGGGGGGATGGTGGTCGAGTGGGGGCATGGGATAGAGCGGGCGGGAGTGAGGCTGGACGGTCCGGGTGGGTTCAGGGGTGTCGGGGGCAAGGAGGGGCAGGGGGGGGGAGGACGGGGCGAGTGGGGTGGAGGGGGAGGGGAGGGGCGAGTAACGTGGGGGTCAGAAGGGGGGTCGTGTGTGGGAGGTTGATCCTGGGGGCTGAGGAACCGGTTGGGGTGGGGGGGGGGGTGGGGAGTGGTCCTGGGGGTGCGGAGACACAGAAGGGATAAGGGGAGGGGAGGGGGGGGGGGGAGGGGGTGGGCGAGCCCGGGATGGGAGGGAAATCGGGGCGGAGATATGGGTAGGGTTGTGGATGGGGGGATGGGGGGGGAGGCGAGAGGGAGAGGGGGGGACGAAGGGGTGGGGGGAGGGAACCGTTAGAGGCGTGGGGATGGGGGGGGGGAGATGGGCGCGGGGGGGCGTGGGGGGGGAACGGGGTGGTTGGGGCGTCGGGGGGTGAGGGGGGGGGGGGGAGGAGGGCCTCGGGGGGTGTGATGAGGCTGGGGTGATATGAGGTGCAGTGTGGGAGGGTGGGGATTCGGGGGGGGGGAGCGGGGGCGACGGAAGGGCGGGGGGGGGGGTGCGGTAGCGAGGACGGCACGGGGGGGGGTCTGGGGCCGAGGCAATGGTGGTTCAGGGAGGTCGGGGAGGGCACTTGGGGGGGTGGTGTGGGGGGTTGGCGTTGGGTTGGGGGAGATGCTGTGGGTGACGGGGGGGGGGGGGCCGGTGGTTGTGGGAGATGCGGGCGCGACGCGGCGACGCGGTGGAAAGGGCTACTGGTTGGTGGGGGGGGGGCTGTGGGGGGCGGGAAAGGGCGGGGGAGGGCGGATGTGGAGAGGCAGGGTGGGTTTGGAGGGTGAAGGGGAGGTTGATTTGGGTAGGTGGAAGGGCGGCCCGTGGGGGTGTGTGGTGAGATAGTCGTGGTAGAGTGGGGGGGAGGGCGAGCGTGGGTGGGGGGGGTAGGGCCGCCGGGTGGATGCGTGGGCCTGTGGTGGGTTGCGGATTGGTGGAAGCCGCGGGGGGCGGGTGTGTCCGGGGTGTGGGGCGGCGGAAGGTCCGGTCGCTCGGATGGAGGGGCGGATTGGGTGAGTGGGAGAGCAGGTCGGCGTGGGGGGGAGTTGGGGACCTGGGCATGGGGCTGGTCGAGGGTGATAGATAGGCGGGCAGCGAAGGCAGGAGCGTTTGGAGGCGGGTGTTGGCGGGGACGAAAGGGGAGGGGGGGTTGTAGTGTGGGTGGGAGTGCGGGATGTACCGGATCGGGGCCGGAGGGTTCGGCGAGATTGGGGGGGGCGAAGGTAGGCGGGGTGCGGGGGGGCGGGGGGGATCGGTGGGGCCGTGCTTGAGGGCGATTGCAGGAACGGGGGGTCGGCGGGGTGGGAGGCGGGAGGGTTAGGGAGGGAGAGCGGGGGTGGGGGGCAGTGGGGGCGAGAGGCTGTGTTGTGCAGGGGATTGGTGGTTGGATGTTGTTTTGTTTTTTCGCTTCTTTGCTTTTTTATCTTTTGTAACTCTTTTTATTTTTTTTAGATTGTCTTTTCATTTTTGTGTTACGTTCTTTTTTGTTTTTTGTCACGCTGCTGTTTTTCACGTTTTTGCTCTGAATTAGCATATGGGTTCTGAAGACTTTCACTAGCCTAGTTTCTCGCAAATTTGATTTTTCACTTTGCTCAGAGACAGCTTGCATGAAGAGATAGCTAAAAGAGATGGCAAAGAGTGAGGGTTTTTCATGGATTAATGGAATTTGGCCCCTCTCTGGAGTTCAGGTATTTAGAAGCGGCTCCACTGTCTCTCCCACGCCCACACACACAGATAAACAGGCAGAGGACTGTGCCAAGACCAACTTAGGCAATTAAAGGGGGGTGCACTGCAGATGAACGTGAAGCGTGGCAGCAGAACGGAACAGGTTAGCAAGGATGGTGGAGACATAACCTGTCCAAATGAGGGGAAGAGGGAAAGATACACGCAGGATTCTGGATAAAAGCAAAGAAGGAGATGTGATGAAATACAGGCGGTTGTTGCTGCAATGTGGCCGATAATGAGAAGTCCAAATCCAGGAGAGTCACTGGATCCCTCACGATTCCAAACTAAAACACAACATATGGCTATACAATAACAATAGTATCACAATGATTGTTTTAGAAGCAACAAAACACACTGTAAATAGATTCAGATGCAGTGCATTTGGCATTTGCAGTAAAACACCATTGGGATACTGTACATTTGCAAAAGTTCTCAGTGTGACCCAGACAAGTACATAAATAAAACCAAAACAATTGTCTCTGTGAAATCGATTAAACTTTAAACAGGTTTCAGTACAAGATTATTCAAAAAGTGCTCTGTTTAAAGTGATAACTGTTTAGGGAAAAGAAGCTGAGACGTCCTGCATCTCAGCAAATGATATTCTTCTGCCAGAGGGAAGAAGACTGGAACATGGCTTTTCCAAGGGCCAGAAGAGTCATTGACTATTCTAAGAGACTGATTTAAAAGTTTTCAGGTCTCTTTTTGTGAAATATTCCAAAAATATTGATATACAGTATATATACACATTATAATTATGTAACTTATTCATAGTGGCAAGCAGGTGACAGCGATCAGGACAGGTTACGGGCCAGATCTTGTATATATATTGTCTGACCATTTGAATTCTAAAGGCAAAAACTCAAAATAAAGTATATAAATTCAGATAAAAAAAAGTGTCTCTTGCAAATCCCTCCCCCCAAAACCTTCACAAAAAGCAAGAGAGTGCATTGAGCAGACTACAGCTTATGTTTTACAGGTCGCGGTGCAAAGCTTTTTGTTCACACCATGAAATCCCCCCCCTGGAGACCCCTAGACCTCCATCCGTGTCTTTCCCCGGGAGCAGCCTCCAGGTGCGAGGGGGCAGAGTGCTGCTTCATGTCAGCCCCAGAAATGTTCAAAAACACACAGGCATTTCTCCAGCGCACTCCCTGGCACTTTGCAATTTAGTTCTGCATCTCCATCAGCTGCCAAGGATGATTCGTGCATGCCCAGAATTTGCGAATTGTGAAGAGTGTTCGCGGCGAGAGAGGCAGAGGTAGTGTGTGAGAGCTGCGATGGAAGGCGTCCCGGTGCGATGGAGCCTTGAGGCCTGCCTGACGTTGCTTGAGGGCACACAGAGGAAGGTGATTATCTCGTAGCTGGCAGCCATTCAGCTCAAGTAAAAAGCAAAGTAACTTACACTAACTAGGAGATGCTATTGTTGAAGTCGTGAGCCCCAACTTACCCGAATCGGTGTCGTATTCCAAAAACTTGTAGCTGTGTGATGAACTAGAGCAGGGATGTCAAAGTCAAATAGATCAGACGTCAAAAACACTAATTTGCTTCAATCTGAGGGCCGGACTGGTTCAATGTTTATTAAAGCATATTGACTTAAACCCTCTTCAATTAAGACGACACTATTGTTTTGTACTGTTTAAAATGACTGATTGTGTCAAGCAGGGTGTCAAAAAACAGGGTGTCAAAAAACATTCAAACTACTGCCACTGATTTACATTGTTTTCATTGTTACTAACAATTAATTACTATTTCCCTAACCCCTGAGTGTAGTACTGTGTGAGGCCCAGTTTATACGGAGGCGCTGCGCAGACGTTGCCAAGCTATTAACAGAAACAACCAGGCTCCTAATGCTAATTTCACAGCGTTCATACAAGGATCAAAAACTATGTAGTTCTAGCGCCCGGACAGAAGGGGGCAGAAGAACTTTACAACACGACACACGGGATGCCCCAGCCCCCCCCCATATACTCACTTCCTCTGGAAGACGTGAAAGATGCACCAACATTATTCTGCATTTAACAGCAGCTGTGAACATGGAAACTGAAACTAGAGCTTTGCGTGGTTTCGTTTGGACAAACGAAGGAGTAGAATCCTCCTCCGTTAGCGCTCGAAGCACACGTAGCTAGTTAGTGAACCCACCGCCATTGTTGTTTACGTTTGTTCTACTGCGCATGTCCAAATGTACGTGTGGGGAGCAGCGGGAGGTGGGGATCAGATCAGGCAAAGAATTCACACCTTTTTCCCTCACGCGCCCCCTGCTGAGCAGCGTATCTGAGCTGGATCTTAACTCTTACGTTTTCACCTGGAACCCAGTCTCCGTATGAACGGGGGGTAGCAACCGACATCCAACTAAAGCGTTTTACTGCTACAGTGTCTCCGTGTAAACTGGGCCTTTATTCCCGCATGCACTTTCCTTATCTACATACAGCCACTATCTCTCATCACTTTTAAGTTATTAAGAAATGAAGATGTTAAATTTGAGCCTCTGCTGCCTAAAGGGTTAAGTGTCTTGCCCTGGGACAAACATGACTGGGAGGAGCTGGAGTAGGTCTTGAACCCACGACCTTCAGGCTCAAAGGCTAATGCTCTACCAACTGAACCACTGTCACCCCAGAAAACACATGAATCCAGTATTTCCTTATTACCAATCAAATCATCTCTGCGTTTGAAATAGTATTTTGATCTAGTTTGTTATGACCGAGCATTTCAACCGTTTTGAAGGTTCAGCTGCAGAGGACTGAGTAAGTGCCGGGTTTGTCACAGAGTTAGACTAAATCAGTTTTGTTTTAGCTGCAAATAGAAATCTGCATAATAGTTTCTCATTATAACTGCACAGTCAATACGGTAAAAATCAATCAATCAATCAAAGTTTATTTGTAGAGCGCCTATCATACACAGGGCAACACAAAGCGCTTCACAGTCCACATCACAAATCATCACATAAAACAAACACCAGAATCACAATTAAAACATTAAAATCACACAAAAGATTAAAACACAATTAAAACATTAAAATCACACAAAAGAATAAAACCATTAAAACTTTCAAAATTACACAAGAAATTTAAAAAAATAAATAAATGACAGCAGTGCATTAGAAATGGAGATAAAATCCTTCAGTTGTATGCACAGGCAAACAGAACAGTCTTTAACCTGGATTTGAACATTGACAGAGTAGACGCCTCCCTCACATTTTCAGGGAGATTGTTCCAGATCTTAGCTGCATGGATCTGAAACGCAGCCTCCCCATGTTTGGTTCTCACTCTGGGCACCAGCAGGAGGCCAGTCCCTGTGCTCCTCAGAGTCCGGGCCGGTTCATATGACACCAACATGTCACTAATGTATTCTGGTGCAAGGCCATGGAGAGACTTGTACACAAGCAGAGCCGTTTTAAAATCTATTCTTTGAGCCACAGGAAGCCAGTGCAGAGACCTGAGGACCGGACTAATATGGTCATACTTCCTGGTTCCTGTCAGGACTCTAGCTGCTGCATTTTGGATGTACTGCAGCTGCTTACAGGTCTGTTTGGACAGACCTGTAAGCAGGCCATTGCAGTAGTCTAGCCTGCTGGAGACAAATGCATGGACAAGAATCTCCAAGTCTGCCCTGGACACTATATTTCTAACTTTGGCAATGTTCTTCAGATGGTAAAAAGCTGTTGATGTTATTGATTTTATGTGGCTATTGAAATTTAGGTCTGAGTCCAGTATTACCCCCAAATTTCTGACCTTGTCTGAAGGAAGTAGGGAGAGAGACTGAAGTTGACAAATGACGCCCTCTCTTTGTTTCTGGGGACCAAAGACAATGATTTCGGTTTTGTCTGCATTTAGCTGGAGGAAATTATTTTGCATCCAGTCACTGATCTGTTGGATACAGTGAAGGAGCAAATCCAGTGGTCCATGTTCTCCTGCAGTCAGTGAGACATAGATCTGAGTGTCGTCAGCGTAATTGTGGTAGGACACTTTGTTTCTTTGTATTAACTGACCTAACGGCAGCATGTAGAGATTAAATAGGAGAGGTCCCAGGATCGACCCCTGTGGTACTCCACAGGTCAGGGCCACATCATCTGAGACGCAGTCTCCAATCTCCACAGAGTACTTCCTATCCTCCAGGTAAGACCTAAACCAGTCTAGGGCTGTGCCAGTGACACCAACCCAGTCCTCCAGTCTCTGCATGAGGATCTCATGGTCGACAGTGTCGAACGCGGCACTAAGATCTAACATGACCAAAACTGTGACTTTACCTGCATCAGTGTGAAGTCGAATGTCGTTTGTTACCTTCACTAGAGCGGTCTCAGTGCTGTGGTGGGGTCTAAACCCAGACTGGAACATATCAAAAGAATTATTCATTGTTAAAAATTCAGTAAGTTGTTGGGAGGCCACTTTTTCAAGAATTTTTCCAATGAATGGCAGATTCGATATGGGGCGATAATTTTGAAGTCCCGCAGGATCCAGACTGCTCTTTTTTAGGAGAGGTCTTATGACTGCTGTTTTTAGGGCCATAGGAAATGTTCCTGACGACAGAGACATGTTTACTATTTGTGTCAGTGAAGGTAACAAACTGCTCAGGACGGACTTCAGAAATTTAGAGGGCAATATATCCAGGCTACATGTGGAGGAGCTCAGACTCATGATTATCTTTTTGACAGTTTCAGTATCCACAGGTGCAAAGTGAGTTAGCTCAAAAAGCTTCTCTGGCTGTTGCATTGTTATACGTGCTGTGGAGGTGATAGTGTTTTTGATTCCTTGTACTTTGTCATCGAAAAACTGTGCGAACTCATTACACCTAGATTTAGAGGAAAATTCTAGGGGCAACTTTACAGGGGGGTTCGTTAATCTACCAACTGTTGAAAACATAACACGAAAATTGTTACTGCAACCTCCAATAATGTCAGAAAAATACATTTCTCTTGTTCTACGTAGAACCCGGTTAAATTCACCCAACTCATCTTTAAAGATTTCATAATCGCCCTGGAAATTGGACTTTCGCCACTTCCGTTCGGCCCTCCGGCACTCTTGCTTCTGTGCCCTGACCGAGTCTGCCTTAGTCCATGGGGCCTTTTTCTTACTGGTAACTATTTTAACCGTCACAGGAGCAATGGCGTCCAGAACAGTCAGAACACTGGTGGTGACAGAGTTATACAATTCATCAACAGTAGAGCATGGAGTTTTCTCAAAATTTAGCATTCCCATGAACAGTTCACTTGTGTTTTCATGTATGTGTCTTCTTCTAACAATTGTAAATTCAGCTGGTGGTTTGCTAGCAAAACACATGTCAAAAAATACACAGAAATGATCTGACAAAGCAACATCAACTACATTAACATTTGATACATTAACCCCCTTTGTAATTAGCAGGTCAAGAGTGTGCCCCCTGCTGTGGGTGGGGCCACTCACGTGCTGAATGAAACCAAAGGTCTCAAATACAGAAGCCAGCTCCTTTGCATTTCTGTCATCAACATTATCAACATGTACATTAAAATCACCTGTAATAACTAAACTATCAAAATCTGTGCACACGAATGAAAGTAGTTCAGTAAAATGGTCAATAAAATCGCAACATGACTGTGGTGGCCTGTACAGGACAATGAAAAGAGTAGAAGATTGCTTTTGTTCCATTTTAAAAGAAATATACTCAAACGATGAAAAATTTCCAAGGGGCATTCTATGGGAGACAAAGTGCTCTCTAAAAACTGCAGCTATGCCTCCCCCCCTTTTGTTTTCTCGTATTTCGGATTCGAATTTAAAATTGGGTGGTGTTGCTTCTATTAGAACTGCATTTCCTGTATTTTGGTCCAGCCATGTTTCAGCCATAAGCATAAAATCAAGATCATAAGAAGTGATAAAATTATTAATTAAAAATGATTTGTTACATAGAGATCTGACATTAAGCATAGCAAGTTTAAAAATAACGTCAGAGTCGATTAATGTGGTTGATTGATTTCTACAGGGAACAGAAATTAGATTTGCAGAGTTGGACCGTCTAACTGCTGTCCTGTTTTGATTTCGTTTTTTAGAATTTAAAAACATTTTTGAGCTGGTGCGAGGAACACACACAGTCTCAATTGGCCTAAAATGTGAAAACCCTTGTTGTTCTTTAG